AAGAAATGTGCTGATCCTTCTCATTATTTGTTTGGGATGGCTCTGCAGACTCGTCATGTTGCTGTAGGCTGCATGCAAAAAGGAAAACAGAAGAAGCACTGGGGTAAACTCAAACCAATGCCACTTGATTTCTATAGAACATTTCCTAAACAAAACAGTTCCCAAATTGCTGCACAATACAGATTAAACAATGCAATAGAAATCTAAAATAAAACACAACTCGTAAAATCAAGAGCAAAAAGAGCAGACCACACAAAATGAACGACTGATGAACAGTCAAAAAAGCATTTTGTCAAAATGCTGTGTTGTTTGGTTTTCTCAGATCATATTTTAGTGACAAAGTCCATTATCCTGCTGTATTTATCAAAGCACACCTGTACCTGGTTTGTTAAAGAGCCCACACTCTGTTTTCTGATCTCTCTTCTAATGTTTCTTCATCACAAACAGACCCAGAGTTGTGTTTTGTTTTATTCATACATGTTTAACACACAAACCCTACATACTGTATTTAGTTCTTCTTTCAAAGTAAAAAACAAACAAAAACACACAAAAAAAAACACTCTGTTCCACCTTGTGATGTCATGTGGTAATACAGGAAATGCTTCACTGTGTTCTTAAACTCCACACACCTTCACTAGAATCATCTAGATCAGGGGTCTCCAGACTTTTTCCTTCAATGATCTACTTTTACAAAATGAAAATGCCATTGAGCTACAAGTTTTAGTGATCACAAGAACCTGAGCAAATAAAAGAGCCACGGCAAGTCTTAGATGAGGTGCATTAACTGCAGGGCTTGTTGCTCAATTTAGATTTTTTTTGTGTGAAATCTGATGTTTTTTCGAGGTCGTTCACATTTCCAATTAAATGGGACTTGTATGTGACTCCAGTGTGAACATTAAACGGCCCAAAAGTGTCCCACATGTGCACTGGAGACACGACGACGTCAACCTCAGCGAGCGTCTCTGTGGTTACAGAAGTTGTCCAAACATGGACGCAGCAACGAGCACGTGAAGATTTTAAAGTTCCTCTCGTACCAGAGCCAGAACATGAACAACTTACTTGTTTTAAGGAGGAGATTGAGAAGGAGAAGGACGAGGTTTTTGGCCGTGGTGTTTTGTGGTTCAGTCCGTTGAAAGGAACGTGTGGATGTGGAGACGGAGCCAAGAGTGGTGAGTGGAGATGTGCTTCACTTCAGTGACACAGAGTTCATTAACAATTTTCGTATGACAAGAAGAACGTTTGTGTACATTTGTGTAGGTGGATGAATGCGCCTTGGCCGTTCACACTGAAGTCACATGTCAAAAGATCAGATATGTAACGGTTTCAGGAGCACATATCCAAGTGTCCTGGGTCACATTTGAAAAAATTGGATCTGTGTCATTCAGACTGTCATTAAAAGATCAGATACAGGTCACACAGGGGCCAAAAAATCAGATTTGGGTCACTTCAGGCTGCAGTGTGAACGTAGTCTTTGATGCCTATAAAACATAAACCATTATCCATTTATTAGTGCACAAACTTAGGCATCAAAGTGATACATGTACAATGGCAAAAGGCATTTAATTCATCACATTTTATTTATTCAGTACAATATGTAATGATTCAGAAATCCCTTGGCGAGCTGCTTGGAAGGGGGTGAGAGAGTAGCTCCCAAGCTGCAGATTGGAGACTCCTAATTTCGATGATTTCAGATCTAGAATTGTCGATCTCTGAACTAAAGGTAAAAGGAGCTTCGTGACATCACAAGGTGGAACAGAGCATTCTGAGCTTTGGAGATGTAGACAGACTAATAATAAAATAATAGTAAAGGGTATTGTAGTACTGGAGACCGGTTTTGATCTTGAGACCGGACTCGAGACTGTTTTTCTATGGTCTTGGTCTCGAACTCTAGTGCGTTTGGACTTGGTCTCGTCTCGGTCTTGAAGGTGCTTGGACTCGGTCTTCTCACGGACTCGAGGTCTGACACTGGTCGAGCGTGATCACACTTCATTACAGCTGCTACTGCAACAAACTTGTACCGGTGTGTGGGCCCGTGTGGGGCTTATCACTGTAGCTTGTGTGTTTGTATGAAGCCAGCGCGCGGGAGATAGATTTATAAAAACATTGATATCTGTGCCAAAATAACGGTAAAATAGAAATAAATGTAGAAAATTATAAATGTGGTCTTGATTTGGTCTCATTGGGCCGTGGTCTCCGTCTTGTTTCAGTCTTGACCTTTAAAAGTCTCGGTCTTGTCTCGCTCTCGACCTCCAGACGTCTTGGCCTTGTCCTGGTCTCGGGACCCTGTGGTCTCAGACAGGTCTTGGTCTCGCCTAGTGCAGTCTTGACTCGTCTACAACATTACAAACATGTGTGAATGAAACAAAACACAACTCCAGGTCTGTTTTTGAGGAGGTGACAACATTCTTAACTTGGCTTAAATCACACAGGAGTGCATTTTGGGCATATGGGAGCTTTAAAGTGTCCTAACTCCACCTCTGCTCTTCCTCCATGAGCTCATCAGGAAAGTCTGACTCCACAAAGTCAAACACACACACACACACAGACACACACACACACACACACAGACACACACACACACACACACACACACACACACACACAGACTGACGGAGCTGATAAGAGACCAGGGCGCCTGATGGACTTTTAATGGGGACTGTAAACAATATCACAATACGGAGACAATATTTCTCAACCTTAGGATGTGGTGTCATCTACGCTCTATCCATGACAGTATTTTTCCATTTCCCATGACTTATTGATAACTAGGGTTGTCAAAAGTAATAGTAAAATGTAAATGTAAAAGTAAATGAAAATCACATTCTGTTGTCTAAGAAAGTGTTTTGTTTTTTTATTATCATCATACTATTGGAATTAGTATTGTGACTGATCCACCCTCTCTTTGTGAAGGAGACGAGATTGTGCAGCTCTTTCCTTCCTGCTGCTGTCAGACTGTACACTGCACACTGCCCTGTACTACTATGTTCCACCTGTACTTATCACGTACAATACTGGAACACAATGGGAGTCTTTACTGCACTGTTGTTTTTATTCTACTTTGTGGTTTTGTTCACTGTGTTAAATACTTTGGAAACTACTTTTGTTTGTAAAATGTCCAGAAATCGCAGCTCATGGAGGACTTTGTGGTGTGGTGCAGGGCTGACCACCTTTAACTGAACACTGCAAAGACCTAAGAGATGGTTTTGGACTTCAGGAGGAGCAGGACCACTGAGAGGGACACTGTGGACGTTGTAGAAAGTTAGAAGTATCTGGGTTTACATCTCGACCACAGACTGGACTGGTCTGAGAATACAGAAAGGGACAGAGCAGACTGTACTATCTCAAAAGGCTGAAGTCCTTTAACATCTGCCAGAAGATCCTGCTGATGTTCTACCATCTCCCTGTCATCTTCAAAAAGTATCTATCAATCTTTCCATCTAGAAATAGGATTCGAGCAGATGATGCCATTTATGTATTTTATTGAAGTATGTCATGTACTTACAACTTCAAAAAATACTACATAAAATCTTTCCACATTCAGGCAGTCCTCATATGTTCACCACGACTCACTCACAGCTTTATCCACTAGACTGTTAGGATGCTGAACTCTCTCCCCTCTGTAACCACCAGGCAGACAGGAAGCTACGAATCTGTGTCTCCCTAAAGAAGAACTTTGGACTTTTCCTTTTATTTTATTATTATTTAATTTAAAAGATTGAGAGTGAGAACATCATTTAAATTTTTCATATGTTCATGTATGCGTTACAAATAAATGTTTTGAACTGAACTGAATGTCTTGTTTTGGACACATGGACATGCAGTCATTATAAAGTGGGTGATCCCACTGCCCCGTACTCACAGTTAAAACCATTTTGGGACTTTTTTCTGACCAGACGATAATTTTCACTCTTAATGTGTTAAATAAGCATATTATTTCTCTTTGGTTCAAAGAGAAGATAACGTTAGACCTGGATTTATGAGGTCCAAAAACACAGTCTAGACTCGTCAGACAGCTCAGATCATGAAGGTGAGCTCGTATTAATCTGGTAACAGATGAGAGAGCAGATTAAATCTGAGTCCAGATTAAATTCCAAACATGCTTCAACATAAAGACATTTGTTTTGTGTTAACACGAGCCGCTCCAATGACATCACTGCACTTTTAGGGAATGGTTCATGTTTAGGCCCAGTCAAGACAAAAATTATACAATACTGACCCCCAGCGCACAATCTAGGAAGTGCACCTCAATGGTAAATAATTATGAAAAAACAAAAGAACAAAACAGAACAGTAATCTGAACAAAATGCATTTTTCTTATATAAAGATAGCAAATTGTAAATGCTGTGAATCTTTTAATATTGTACTTATTATAAAAAATTAAATAATATATAAAAAATAATATTTATAACATATCTTGTGTATCATTGTGATTAATATCCATTATAAGCCTATTATACTTTCATTTATGCATTTCTGTTTTATTTAACACACTTACCTTGGGTTATAATGGTCTGGTAAAATTTTTATTTTAATTTTTTTTATTTTTTTAAAGCCACAGGAAGTAAATTTTTAGCTAAAAATGATTGATTAAACAAAAAACTGTATTAATATTAATATTAATTATTAATATTAATATTAATGTATGGCATCAAAAATTTCTATCTCCATGAGGAATGTTCCGAAGTATGGTTTTAATGTTTTCAATGACTCGCGCGCGTCCCGCGAGTCAGTGTCCCACTGTACCTTTAAAGAATCACGCTTTGAAAATATGCAAAAATACAAAACCTTATATAAAAATAAATATTAAACAATGGTATGTTATCAATTATAGACTTTTATTTAGCATTTTATATATTTATTTATTTATTTTTTATTGAACATTTTTTTCCCAGCATTCATCCGGGGCTTATGACGCGGCGGAAGTCCATCGCACTTCCTTTCCTCCATTAGGTGAGTGCGTGGTCGGAGCGCTTTTTCCCTGCTCTGTTAAAACTTCATTTTTCTCACATTAAACGCGCTCTTTTACCCGTTTTCTCACCTTATTTCCGTGTTTGTGTGTTTTATTCTGCAGATCGCAAAAATGGGCCGCCGTCCCGCCCGTTGGTGAGTCTAAAATCTGAGTTTAATCTTTAGGCCGGAGCTGCGGGGAAAATGGCAGCGGCGGAGTTCACCATGTGCGCTGGAGCCGGCCCCGACACTGCGATAACACACTAAATCTACAACATGCCCCTGTCTCTAAGCGTTCAAATGTGTTGTTATTTAGAGGCAGTCGTTCTAGCCGTGATTTGCACTGTTTAACTAATGATCTGCGTGACGTTGTGCAAAGCTGAACTGTCAGATCCTCCGCACGTATTTCACATGAGCAGCACTCACGTTCAGCATCATTTATATGATATCTGTTGCATTAAGACTATCGATCGCGATTATCTCAAGTTATGGTGCGTTGTATTCACTATGCTTAGTCATGCTTTGTCATTCGGTGTTCCAGAATGATGAGGCTAAATACACGCTGGTCATTTGTAGGAGTTTAATTTTGCTCAGGGGTGACCAGAATACCCCGTTTACCCGGGACAGTCCCAGTTTTGATCCCTGCTTACCCCTGTTCCAGTGGATTTATTTAAAATCGGTGATATATCCCAGTCTTGTACATGAGATGTCCCAGGTGTAGCTTTCAACAAATGTGACACCCACCAACATTAAAGAAGAGCATAAATTGCCATTTGTCAAAATACTGAAACATGCTTGAATAACCAGAACATACAAATGTGCTCAGTTGGATTGACTGAAGTCTATTTACTAAGATACAAGTGAGTCGTGAAGGATGTGATTGTCATGAAATTACAGGGTGCATAATCTTAGTAATGTCCCAGATTGATAAAAAAAAAAAAAACTCTTTTACATGCAACTCAGTGAAATGAAATTGGTCCCCAGGACCAGCAGCAGCCACACCGGGTCATTGCATTATTTTGAAAGCTTAGTTTATGAAGTTAAACACTTTAAATAAGGAGTAAACAGTGAACAATGCAGCAAAGTAAACATGTTATTAATTTAAACGTGTACTGCAGTTTAGTAGTCTTACTAGTTTTTCTTGTGTCACTAACACTTGATTCTCTCCTTCAGTTACAGATACTGTAAGAACAAGCCCTACCCCAAGTCCCGCTTCTGTCGGGGTGTTCCTGGTGAGTTTTCTGGACTTTTCAGTCATGAAGTGTCTTAGAATAAATGACAAACACTGCAGTCTATTAAGCCGACCAGTCTCGGTGTGTGTGAGGGTGGTGTGCAAAGGCTGCAGACAGAGACTCTCTGGTTGTGTACGACCTCAGCTGTGAGGTGCTGGGGCCTTTAAGGGACCATTGATACAAATCTACAGTGTTTCCCAAAGACATATCCTAAAGCTCTGGTGGCATAAATGATCCATGTTTGAATCATTTTATTGACTGATATTTTGGTCTGTAAATGTATCACTGACTAAGCATAGTTGTACATGTTTAACACCTACAAGCTTGAAGTATTTGTTTTACCAGTTCTTTCCTCAGTTGTAATTAAACTGTGGGGGTCACCATAGTGTATTAAAGGGAAATTAATCTATTTAAATGCTGAAAAAGCTTATTTTAACATTCTGTGTTTCTATTGGTCCATCTTAGACACAGTCCAGTCCTGATTGGTTTGTCTCTGTGCAGATCCTAAGATCAGGATCTTCGACTTGGGCAGGAAGAAGGCCAAAGTGGACGAGTTTCCTCTGTGCGGTCACATGGTCTCTGACGAGTACGAGCAGCTCTCCTCTGAAGGTAGAGTTTTGGGGTTATTGTGATTGAAAATTTAAATGTTACAAATGGGTAAATGTTCAGCTGTCACTTATGAGTGATATTTTACAGCCAAAACAGCTGATAAAATGTTTAATCTATCAAACTAATGTGTGAAGTAGAATTTCTAAACTTTAGTGGAGAATTTATTTGCTAAAAAAACTGTTCATAAAGCATGACTTCATCTATCAAGTTTCTCTTCTGCTCTTCAAAGTATTTGAGAACATTTGTTTCTCTCCTCAGCCCTGGAGGCGGCTCGTATCTGTGCTAACAAGTACATGGTGAAGACCTGTGGTAAAGATGGCTTCCACATCCGCATGAGGCTCCACCCCTTCCATGTCATCCGCATCAACAAAATGTTATCCTGCGCTGGGGCTGATAGGTGAGGAGCTGTTTCTTAATATAATGAAGGTCTTCCTTCTGTCTGGGATGCTGTGTGAGTAGTGCTTCTGATCTGGTGACAGCATCAGTCTGAAGAGTGTACTCTATCATCAACTCACTGTAGACTGTTTCTTTGAGGCAGTGGAAAGATTTTGTTTTAACAAATGTAGCGTTAAAGTCTGGTCTATCTATGTGATCGATAGATAGAATATATATATATATATTTTTTTTAATGCATTGTGTAACCTAGTGTGTCTCGTATGGGTCTGCTCATGTTTGCACTGTCAGCTGCCTCACAAGGGAAACAGAAGAAAATGTATTTGAATTCTACAGCACTTCACGGGCTTTGACTTCATAAAGACTGCTCCAGTATGTCGAGCTCTTTACATCTAAAATCCTGTCTTGTGTGTTCATCACATTGATTAGAAATGGAGCCTGTTTTTTTACACTCATTACAAGTGTGCACTACCACAAAACTGACTAGAGCTTAAGTTTGCGTCAGTCTCTGGTTCTAAAGCTAACATTAGTCTTCAGCCTGAGATTCTAAAGCTGTTTCTTGTGTTCCAGGCTCCAGACTGGTATGCGCGGTGCTTTTGGTAAACCCCAGGGCACTGTGGCTCGTGTGCACATCGGGCAGGTCATCATGTCTGTGCGCACAAAGGCCCAGAACAAGGAGCACGTGGTGGAGGCTCTGCGCAGAGCCAAGTTCAAGTTCCCCGGCCGCCAGAAGGTAAAACGCTACCAAACACTAGAGGAATGACCTCACAGAATAGTGTGGGGATGTCTTCTTCTGATGGGCAGGCTCTTTATCATATCACCTGGACAGATGGAAGTCCTGCACCATTTGGGTACTTTTCAAAGTCATTCAGGCCCAAGCTGAGACCAGAATCCATCTCAACATATCTCAAAGATGACCTGGTTATCTGATTTATTTCTAAATCTCAGCATATGGCTGAGTTGCTGGTCAAATTATTTTTAAAATGACAATCCTTGATTAGATTTTGTGGATACCTTTGTCTAAAGGCATTTTGTAATTGGAATCTTTAAATCATCATCAGTTATTCCAGACATTTTACCTTTTGCCTTTCTACATTCAGCTTTATTAAGACCTAAACAATCTGTAGTGCTGTAGTTTTAAGTGATAGTTTTAAGTCAAACTTCATTCTGTCCAGACATGTCATATTAACACAATAATGCAGGACTATGGAATAAACGATTATACATTTTAATTGCACTAAATCTTGTGACACACTCTAACATTAGTTCTTGTACAGTGTAAATCATGTATTTGCAGTCTATTAAGCCGACCAGCCTCAGTGTGTGTGTGAGGGTGGTGTGCAAAGGCTGCAGACAGAGACTCTCTGGTTGTGTACGGCCTCAGCTGTGAGGTGCTGGGGCCTTTAAGGGACCATTGAGACAAAACACATGTCAAATCTTAAAACTGACTTGCATTTTCTTCTATGTAAAATTGAATGCGTTCACTTCAAATTTTTTCTGCATTATAAAAAAATGTAGAGTTGCCAGTGTTGAAAAGACATCACTGGCAACCACTGAAAAGAACCAAATTAAGTTCCATTTAGTTTGAACAAAATTGCAGTGATTTCAGAGTTCTTTAATGTATAAATGCCTGAGGGAAAATGTCACTTGTTTGATTTTCTTGAGTTCAGTACTATATTTTATGTAAACGCTTGTTTCCAAAAGTCTCTAGGAAGTTTTCTTTGTCTTGCCTCTGGACTTGCTGCCACACATGCTTCAATCAGTTGTATGACTTTTGTTTCCAGATCCACATCTCAAAGAAGTACGGCTTCACCAAGTTCAACGCCTGTGACTTTGACGACATGCTGGCTGAGAAGAGGCTCATCCCTGACGGCTGTGGGGTCAAATACATCCCAAACCGCGGCCCCCTGACCCGCTGGAAGGCCCTGCATGCCAACTGAGCTCACAGCGCCACCTACAGGCAAACAATAAATGTTTGGTTATAAAAGTACACTGGGAGTCTGTGTATTATGTTGAATTCAGCATGCCCCATGCACTGTGTGGACTTTTCATAAATATAAGTAACTACCGTACGCCCTGAATTTAAGTTTTCAGGTCAGTGGTTTGTTTTAAAGCTCTACATTGTAAGACTCATCATGCATCTTAACTCCTTACTGTGAATGAGCTTGCCTCTCCATGTACTTGACCTGTAACTTGGCCCCTTGTTCCATATAAAATTGAATGGCTTAAGTTTGGCCAAACATTTGATCTCCATGGTTTTGTAAAGTGTTTTAGATTTGCTTCAGAGCACTACTATGTGATGTCTCTATGGTCCTCAATATGCTCCTTATAAAATTTACAATCTGAACACTTCCTGTACAAAATATTTATGCACAAACTGCCTCTTGATTGGTGTAAAAGTGATAGTGGAGGTTTTTTCCCAATGGTAAATATGAACTTTAAACAGGAACACTGGGTGGGTGTGTGGCAGGTGCAACGTTTCCATTTCTCTGAATGAGATCTGAAACTTTCAATTTGAAACACTCATGTATGCACTGGTAAAGTATGGATTTCCACTCAGCCTCTTTCACTTTTTCAATGCATTTTCTTGTTTGGAAATATTAGGCTCTGTATTCCGCAAAATTGACACTTGAGCTTTAAGTCTGGAGTTGTTGTTTCGTACATGTGTTTGGAGATGCAGACATGATGGAGGGTTACTCAAAGCACAAAATGCTCTGTTCCATCTTGATGTCATGAAGTGTTTTCAGTTTAAGATGGTCAATTCCAGGGCTCAGTATAAAGGATTAGTGTTAATTGTGTGAATGAAAAACAACAACTCTAGGTACGTTTGTGATGGAAATGACTATCAGTCTTTAACAGATCAGAAAATGTCAAAATATGGACCCTTTAAGTGTTTAATTTCCCAGTGTGTTTCAGATGCTAGGACCACAAGCCATGTTTTACAGGTACATTTTTAAAGATTGTCCATGGGATAATGACTAAGGTTGAGATACATGATCAAATTTCCACCATACAAAACGAGACATGAGGTTGCAACTGGGTCCAGTCAAGTGGTAACGGAGGGAAACAGGCAGATTTTTGACATTCAAATGTCTCTTATTCAGAAACTAGAGGGACTATTGAAATAAGTAAAGTATCAGAATGTAGGAAAGAGTTACACTCCAACAGGGTCAAGTTAAACCTGTGATATTCTTTCAAGTTGTTGACAAAAAAATTTAGAAACTCATGTCGGTAACGGAGGGAATGAAATATGCAGCACTTTTTGGGCAATAAATCCAAACAGTGATAACTCTTGGTTCTCACTTCCATATCCTTAACAAACTGGTTTGAATATTTGCTTCATATAGTTTTCTACCATATGGTACAAGATTAGGTTGAAAAACCTCTTACTTTTTGACTCATGAGAATTTTTATTAAGAAAGGTCATGGTAACGGAGGGAAAAGTAACAGAGGGAAAATTGTGCAAACAAGTAGAAGGTGCAGGATTTTACATCATTTGTCGCTTTTTTCTTCTGAATACTTGAATATTACTTCAAAATGAAACTATTTCTATGAAATATGTCAATCCTTCCAAGAATATTTTTATCATTTAAATTTTTTTTTTCTTTTTGAGAAATCATGAACCTTCAACAGTTCAAAGATGGAATAACACAAGATATGATGAAATACATCCATTTATTTACATGATTTGCAGGTCTTTGAAATTTGGGAAATAATTTTTGTTCCATGTTTCATACATGGTCTGTTTAAAACATATGGAACTTTAGAACCAAAAATGGTACAGAAAAAAGGTCAGCAGTTTCATAAACTAGAGTACATATGTATCTGTTCAATACAGTTTTATATCAGATGCATTCACTTGAATTTTTGGTCTTGCTGTTTACTTCTGCTTGACCAGGACCAACTAAGAACAAGATGATTTTGACATTCTTTATAATAAACAATACAGTTCAGTACCCAGTTTATTTTATTTCTTAGATTTTAGCAGACTTTGATCCACAAGGGAAATTACATTAAAATTTTTTTATTTCATATTTTTGCTGTCATTGTAGCAGTGCTTTTTGGACTACAGCATTTACAAAACGAAAATGCCAGAAAGGAGCTAGTTTTAGAGGTCACAAGAAATGGAGTAAATCTAAGAGCCACGGTGAAACTTAGAAGGGTACATTTTTCTATTGGCTAATGTTGAGCTGGCCTCAGCACGTCCACAGTTGATGGATTTTTATTCCTTTTGGTCATTATAATTACAAGGCTGCTGCATCTCTATAAATCTAGTTTGAACTTTCATTGACAATTTGAAACTAAAAAAAAAAATTGGCTGAGGATTGGCTGTGGAGCTCTCGATCAAACAGACAAAGCTGATCATAGACTTTTGAGAATTTAATCTTAATCTTGATTAAATGTGATTAATTGCACAGTTCTTGTAAATAAAAAGTTACAATAAACTCTTATATTCTTGTCTACATTAAAGGGCCCATATTACGGTATTTTCACATCTGTTATGTTGTTCCCTCATTAAAAACATACCTGTACCTATACATTTACAATGGTAATGGGCATTTAATTAAAATGACCAGATTTTCAAAATCAAAACCTAGGACATCCTGGTGACTTGTGAATCAAGTGTAATTAAGGAGAATTGTTCTGGACTTGGCCCATTCATGATTAACATATGAGTCAGTATAGTCACGTTTTCTTTGGTTTTGGTCGTTTTAAAGCAGCTTTTCTCTATTTTCCCTAAACAAGTGACAGTGTATGTCTCTCTTTACTGTTGACAGGCATCAAATTGGTCAAGAATATGGACATCTGGGACATTTCTTGTATAAAACTGGGACAAATCAATGGTTTGGATAAATCTGCTGGGACAGGGGACACAGGGCTCAAAACTGGGACTGTCCCAGGTCAACAGGGACATTTGGTCACCCTACATTTAATCAGTCAAATTTTACTAATTGAGCACAATGCGTAAAATTCAGAAATCCTTTGGTGAGCTCCTTGGAAGGGAGAAGAGAGCTACTGGTACCTCCCGAGCTACAGGTTGGAGACCCCTGCACAACAGCTTCAAATCATTGAAGATTTTTCAGCCCTAGAATTGCCAATCTCTACTGAATAAAAGGTAAAAGGAGCTGTTCACTTAAACTACTGTTTCATGACATCACAAGGTGGAATAATAAAGAATTACTCAAACGTGTGTAAATGGAATAAAACACAACTCGGTCTATTTCTCAGGTGGTAACAACATTATAATATGTCTTAAAACTCATCAGAATCCATTTTGTGTCATAAAGGATCTTTAATGTCATTCCAGACAAAAAACAAATGACATCTATGCAGACAATTCGTGACAAGACGCGCTTTTCGTTGAACGCTCAGTGAAATTATTCCACTAAATGATAAATAATTTCTTGGAACATGCAGAAAACAAAGAACTGGCAACAGCAAGCACTGCCCATGACGAGTGAGTAACGGAGACCCGCCCACAGACCGTATAACGACTTTATACTTATATACACACGCCCACAGAAGAAGTTGGTTTTATATATAAACGGTCTACGGTCCCGCCCCGAGATATGAATCGTCGGCGCGCCTCGGGTTTCCGTTTTCAGAGGCGGTCCGAGTCGCGTGAACGCACCACAGATGTAGGAAAGAACCCAAGAAACACACGGTAAGTTACGTTTTTTACACTACGTTTTGACTGATCGTAAAATCTTAAACGCACATTGAGAGAAAGTAAAGGTTACAGGCGCGCGTAATGTCCGTGCGTAAAGCTGCCGTGTTCCTAACGGGAGTTGTTTTGCCATTTTAGTTTGGGGTTGGCGACAGTGACAGCCAAAAGACAAACACTGGACAAATGATTAAACCGCCACCGGAAAATCAAGTTAATCAGGCTCCACATTAGAAAATACGTTTTTTAAAGTCATGTTGTTGTGTTTGTGAAACGTGTCTGGGCATGTTTGACATTTTCACGCGTAATTTTGCAATTCAACGTTTCATAAATTCATTACTTCTCTTTTGTCAGCTGTCAGTCTAAAATTAGAAGTTTTGGCAGTCAGAGATGGTAGAGGAGCCAGTGGTCCAATAGTGGTCCAAAAATCATACTCAAGATAATGAATAAATAAATAAATAATAAAATAAATAAATAAAATAGGCTTACTTGGGAAAATTACTTAAGTAAAGTAAAAGTGAAAGTAATTGTCTGGATATAAGATCTGATATGTAATTTGAAGGTCAACACGTGAAATATTTCTCAAAATCTGGTTGACAGACACAAAATGAGACACAATAAAACACTGCAAGAAACTCAAATGTTCAACTCATTTCATATTGTCACATAAAGATTTTGTGACTTTAGACTTACTCAGTGGGAAGAGGAAGACCAACTTTTACTTAAGTAAGAGTGAAAAATATAAATATTGACTCTAGTAACGCTCTGGTTCCAGGTAATGTCTTCAACTTGAATGAAAAATGAAAATCACCAAGTCCAGTTAAAGATTTTATTCATGGGGTTGTTGGTGAATATGAATTGTGATGGATTATGGAGCCGTGTTTTTCAAAAAGGGCAAGAACAAAGGAATTAGTCCAGTAAATGAAAGTGGCAAATAATAAGTGCAACATCATGGTTAAAAAGAATATAAATGTAATGAACTAAATTAAAACTCAACCCAGCTCACTTTCGTTTACACACAATCCATGAGGCAGGTAAGAAACTCCACAAACAGTTTCCTTCAGCTCAGGACCACACAAAGACAAAGAGAAAGAACAGGTGTAATTATAGGCTTGGGGGCAAAGTCTGGACAACAGGAGGGAAGGAAGCAGGAGTGGGAAGGGGGATATTCTACAAAGAGTAAGGAATACAAATCTTACTCAAGTAGGAGTAAAAGTGTACTGCTAGAAGTACAATTTCATTTAAATTAGTCAAGTAAATATAACTGAGTACTACCTACCTCTGGGCTGGTGCAGTGGATGTGTGTGTGTGCGTGTGTGTGTGTGTGTGTGTGTGTGTGTGTGTGTGTGTGTGTGTGTGTGTGTGCGTGTGTGTGTGCGTGTGTGTGCGTGTGCGTGTGTGTGTGTGTGTGTGTGTGTGTGTGTGCGTGTGTGTGTGTCTTACTCTGGGCAGGTTTGCATCCCCACAGACCTGACTCTTATTTCTCCTGTTTATTTCCATGGAAACATTCTGTATGTTTCCATGGGATGTTTTTTTTTTCTAATAAAAATCTTACTCAAGCAGAAGTAAAAGTATGCTGCTTGAAAAGTACTCGGAAGTAGAATTTCTTCCTGATCTCTGTTGTTGACTCATGAGCTTTAAGACATATTGTAATGTAACGACATTATGACATGACTTAAAGTTCTAAAGAGTTAATTTTGTGTTACATAGGACCCTTACATAAAAATAATAAATAAAAAAAACAGTATATGAAGTCAAGTTCTATGAAATACTGCAGAGTTACAAAGAACCAAAACCAAAAGTAGTTTTAACGACCTAAACATAGAGTGAAGAGAGAGAACACACAAGAACATCAGAGCTCTTCCTCAGGACACATGTTCAGGACAGAGGTCAGAGCGATTAGGAGCTCTAACACTATTCATCCATACAGGAGCTTGTAGAAGTTCCTCTCCACACTATTTTCAGAATCCATTCTTTCCAGAGTTTATTATAGAATAATGTCCACCTTTATTAGGAACGATACATCAAATATCAAGGTTTATCACAGTTTATTATTTTGATTACAAACTGTGGAGACTTTCCTGACACAGGACATGCTACCCTTCAACTGCTCTCCTTTTTATGCAAAATTATTATTTTTTTGTTTTTCCCTCATCAAAAACCCAAAGAAGTTTTAGATGCCATTGGTGCATGTTTGAGTAATCTAGTGATCTCTCCTGGGCCCCTCCTTACAGTTAGCAGTAAGACTGTGTGCAGTGCTCTCCCCATAGGACTATGTCAGTCATGCTCCCACACGACACTTCTCCATAAATATACAAAAACACGATCCAACTGGTCCAGCAGTGCATAGATCAGAACACACAGACCATCACTCTTGAATCTTCTGTCACTGCCCAAATGCCTGTGACCCTCATGAGTTGTATTTCTTTTCAGGAGTCTGTTTTGGCGTTGGTGAGATGGCTCCTCTTCCTTCTCTCCTCCTCGTCTTCCTCTTCTCTCTGTGTAACCTCCACCTGACCGTGGCTTTCAGGATCTGTGCTTTTAACGCTTATCATTTCGGAGAATCCAAGTCCAAAAACGGACAGGTGATGAAGACTCTAGTACAGGTAAGAACAAGCTGTTTAGTCGTATATTACTGTGTTATAAGAATATCAGAAGAATATTAGAAGCCTCCGTTCAAGTTAAGCATGTGGGGGACTTTGTGTTAGTGGTGGAGACTTTCAGACCCTAAGATTTATGAACTAAACCAGGTCTAAGACAGACCTGAACCAGGACCATTAACCATGCCATGGTCTAAACTAGGGTTAAACCAGAGACTAAACCAGGTCTAGAGTTCAGCACACAAATTGTGTATTAAAAAAAGATCTGATTTAAATATCTCTTTGTCTCTGTTTCAGATCGTGTCTCGCTGTGACGTGTGCCTACTGCAGGAAGTGAGGGACAGTAAAAAGAAGGCTCTGCCTGCACTGCTCAACCAACTCAACAGGTGTGTGCACTTTAACACAGGGGCAAGAGCTTCACAGGTGTCATCTGGACCATTTTCGAAATCAAGATGTTTTGGCTTCATCCAGAAGCCGTTTCCTATTTATATCTTTTCTATCATATCTTATATGTCCTCCTGGACAAACATGAGATTACATCATCTCACCCTTTTACATAAAAGAAAGTGTGCGTATGATAGATGCTTGTATAAACTGTACTTTCTGTCATAGACAAGGTTCCACTTGCACATATGTGGGGAGACTTTTTAGTAACACTTTCACATCCACTTTAGCCAGGTGTGCTCTGTCTGTAAATATATGTGCACTTCTAAAAAAAAAAAAAAGAAGTGACCCACCCTGGCCACATTTAGATAAATTTTGGTGGTTTTCAGATTGTAGAAAGTGATGATGTCATAGTTCAGTACAGATTTATTTTCCTGTTGATTACACTGTACTTTGCCATGAAATATCGGGAAGGTATGGAACCTGATCATTTCTATTATGGGTTAGAACCAAGACCGTGCTGTATCAAGAATCTGCAGTTGATCAATATTCGTTTTAGCTTCCTCCAATCTGTTTGAATTACTACTGGCCTGTAGAATGTTGTGATGTCATCTGAAACCAGCATCTGATTTGATATCTGTGAGCCTGGAAGTACAAGTAGATTTTCAACGTTGTGCATCGTACATTTTCATTCATTTCTTGGTGGTGGTAAGATGTGGCTGTCTTGCCTCAGATGCCCTGCAGACTGTCTAACCCGAGTCTAACCTCAGTGTGTCTCCCTCAGAGGCAGAGGAGCAGATTATGACTATGTGGCCAGTGAGAGGCTGGGACGCAGTGAGGCGTATCAGGAGCAGTACGTCTTTGTCTACAAGTATGTTTAACCATGTTTGTTCATTTAAGGATTATTAATATAGGGCTGGGACATATATATTTGTGTTTTAACAGTATGTGGAATGTGCTGAATGTGCAGAATGTGCCTGTGAATGTCTTGGTTGAGGTTCAGTATCATACAAAACCTGAATGGAGCAGAATATGTATAGAACAAAATGTAGAAATATGATAATGGTCTGTGTATGACTCTCACACTACATGTTCTGATGTACACAGGACGAGCTCGGCGTCCGTCACAGGGACGTACCAGTATCCTGACAATCGCCCTGGAGACCAAGACGCCTTCGCCCGAGAGCCGTTTGTTGTCCGGTTCAGAGCCCCAAAAACAGGTGTGCTTCCTAAAGTAACCACATATAACCACAGGGGGCAGTACTGAGCTACAGTGTAATCTGACCTGAGTCCTGAAAACTCACTTCATATTATAAATACTGCATATATGGGGCAGTAAGGACACAGATTTACTTAAAGAACACAGTGGGGGTTTTTTTTTCTTCTTTTAGTTTTAATCTAAAACTATACAACTATTGCATTTTGTTCTTTGTAAACCTCAATATTGATCTAAAACAGCTTAATAGAAATGAGATCACAGACTTCCTTCTCAAACGTGCAGAGCTCATAGACCACTCCTCTTCATCCACATTTAACCAGAGCCAGCTGCAGAATACTGAACAGAAGATTTTTGGACCTATATCAAATAATACATAAACAATAAATATATAAAATAATAAAACTAAGTGTTTCTTCCTTTGTCCTCAGATATAAAAGAGTTTGTGCTGATCCCACAGCACACGACTCCGACCAACACCACCAAAGAACTGGACGCTCTGTACGACGTTCTGCAGGACGTCAAGAGGATGTGGAAGACTGAGGTACAGACACAGGCACAAGCAAGTTAATGGTGTAACATGTAACTTTTCTAGTGCAGTGTTAAATGACCAAAAACCATCTCCATGGAGACAAGCTGGCAGACCCTGCCCCAAAAAAGTGACACAGTGCTCCTTTATAATGCCCATACTGTCCCTGTGTGTCAGAACGTGATGCTCCTGGGAGACTTTAACGCAGACTGTGGATATCTGGCCAAAAAGAACCGGAACAAAGTGCGACTCATCACAGACTCAAACCTGCAGTGGCTCATCCCAGACGGATCAGACACCACTGTGCGAGAGAGCACCAACTGCGCCTACGACAGGTGAGATGCCACAGGTGACCAGTGAAGGGTCAAATGGGATAAGAAGTTGTATCTGTGTTTAATGAATTCTTCTGGGCAGGTCCAAAATAAGTGATTTGATTTTTCAATTTGTGTCCATTGTCATTCTAAGATGATTATTTAGTTGAGAACAGTGATGTAGAAGTTTGTAGCAGATTTCTCTTTGCTTGTTGGTGATGAGATATTTATGAGGTCATGTCTGTAAATTGTTCCATGGAATATTGTCAGTAGAGTGTGGCTGCTCACAGCGCACATGTAGGGTTCCGTTTGGGAGGAGAACTTGTGGTGATAGTCCTTTTTCCGCAGCGACTCATTATAAGACAAGTTTAACTGAAGATGAAGCCAAGTAAGTTCCTTTTGAAAAGTTCTTCAGAGTTTGGTGCAGCGTCTTCACTCACGCCTGCTCAAGACGCCATCTTCAGGTGCGACCCTGTCCTGCCGCTTCCCCAGTTTAGGCTCCTGGCTCCACTAATGACATCACTCTGTTGCAGCCAATGAAACAGCGGCAGGAGTGACCCATCACACACGTCTTAAATGCTGAAGGCATCTCCTCTCCAAAACTCTGGATCATTTAGAACTCAATACATCTTATACTCCTATGTGTCTCTTACCTCAGACACATAAGATAGTTCTTTCACTGCTGATTCAACAGAAAACTGCACTCCCTGAGCTGCAGAGGCTGCACTAGCACTGACTGGTGCAGGTGCTGGGGTTTAGGGAGACATTCAGGTCAGAGAGAGACATTTTAGGTTGAAACAAACTGGATTTCAGCATTGAAACTGGCAACCCAAATGAGAGACTCACTTGTTGTATTTGTCTGTAGTATTTGACAAATTATCATGTTTTTACAGGATCGTGGTGAATGGGAGGAAGCTGTTTGACTCAGTGGTGCCCTCTTCTGCCAAAGCCTTTAACTTCCAGCAGGAGTTCAGACTGTCAGAGGATGAGGTACGACAAGAACCATCACAGCCATTTTCGACCAGCTTTAGTCCTTTTACACAAGTGCTTACATTTAGTACTTACACAAAATGAACCTGGTTTTGGTTTAGCTCTTGACACAGAGGTGTTGTTGTTTTACTTGGTATGTTCCACTGTAACTTCTCTGTCTTGCATTTATTCACATACAGGTGTTTTGTGTTGTTTTTACCGCTCTGAAAAAGCGTGCATCCTTACTGTGAGCAGGTTCACCTGGGGTGACCAGACGTCCCTGTTTACCAGGACAGGTCCAGTTTTGAGTCCTGTGTCCCCCAAAACCACTGATTTGACCCAATTTTATACCAGAAATGTCCCAGGTGTCCCTATTTTTGACCAATCTGATCCCTGCCAATAGTAAATAGAGACATAAACTGCCATTTATTTTGGTAAAATACAGAAAAGCTGCTTAAAAATGAAAACACAACATAAAATGTGGCTATACTGACTCACGTTTGTCACGAATGCGCCGAGTGCAGAATAATTCCCCTTAACTAAGCACTTGATTCACTATTTTATTATTACCAACCACCACAAACCGAGGGTGTTCCAGTTTTTTATTTTGAAATTCTGGTCTCCCTAGGTTCACCTCTCCACAGATATGACCTGTATCATTCCAGTAAAATGTAAAGCCAGGATGATGATGATGATGATGATGATGCTAACTCATAATAATTGTATATTTCTGTTGTCAGGCCCTGGATGTGAGTGACCATTACCCAGTGGAGGTGCTGCTGAAGTCCAGGACCTTCAAGAGTGCTGCGGTCAGAGTGCGGTCAGGAACCTTCAGTATGTCCTGCTCCCTGCTCCTGGTGTTGCTCACCCCCCTGCTCCAACAGAGCTGACCCCTCACACCAGCACAGAGCTGACCCCTCACACCAGTACATGACCCCTCACACCAGTACATGACCCCTCACACCAGTACATGACCCCTCACACCAGCACAGAGCTGACCCCTCACACCAGTACATGACCCCTCACACCAGCACAGAGCTGACCCCTCACACCAGTACATGACCCCTCACACCAGTACATGACCCCTCACACCAGTACATGACCCCTCACACCAGGACAGAGCTTGCTTCAGTGAGGAAGTGAGCATGGGCGCAAAGTTGTTCTTCCAGCTCTTTGTTGTAATTGACTTCTAATGAAAACCCGTCCGCCGTCTCTCTGTGTCTGCAGCTGGTCACGCTTCTCATTTTATTTTTCACTTGTTTGTTTGAACTCACTCTACATGATCCTGGGGTTTTTATTCCACTATTTTGTCCCTAAACAAGCTCTGAACATTAATAACTGACCAATCAGGTGCCTTCTTTCCCCTGAGGTCACTGCAGCCGGTTTGATTGACAGTGTTGCTAGAAGCCCACTTCCTGCTAAACCAACAGTGAGACAGAAAGGAGCTTTACCTTCAACAACCTCGCTCCTGATTGGCTCTTTTCTTTTTGCTATGAAACGCACACTCAGAATTTCAAATATCAGCCCTGGTTTCAGATTAATCCTTGTACTGCAAAGCTCAGTTGTGTTCGTTTGTCTGGAGCTGGACAGTGTGACGTCGCTCTGTCCACTTCTGTAAACAGTCTACGCCCAGAACAGCACTGACCACATCCAGAACACTGAGACTCCTAATGTACATGTGAGCAGTCTGACAGAGGATACACAGTCCAACACATGGAGTTGAAACACACACACGACATGAAGCACTGCACTGTTTTAGTTTCATTTCTTTTTGCTTGGTGAAAAGTACAGAACAAAATAGAATGTGAATTATGGTTAGTCAAAACTCTTCCATAAGGCTTTAAGAAAACAAAAATCATATTTGTAGCTTAAGAGAGACGATGAAATACAACGATACAAACAGTTACACATCAAGTTTAACAGGAGAAGAGCTGGAAATCATGTGTTTGTGAAGGGTGACTACCTGAAAAGGGACACAAGTAAAATGGACATACCGTATTTTCTGCACTATAGGGCGCTCTGGATTATAAGACGCACTGTCATTGAATGGTCTATTTTTGAAAATTTTTCATATATAAATCACACTGGAGTATAAGGCACATTAAACCAAACACAACAGTTCGATAAGTCAGTCAAACTTTATTTAACATGTTCACAATAACTCTCAACTTTGTTCAGTTGTAATGTGTAAAAAACTACTGTGTGAGACGCTAAATTGTTTGTGTATTCACAATAATTCATAATAGTTCAAACAGTTGCGTGATTCTGGTGTCCACACGTCCACATCCCTCTCGTCATGATCCGAGTCAGTGTGGTTACTGTTCCCCAGTGATGATTCTGGTCTTGGTGAAAGCTCGGACCACAGTTGATTCTGATCCTTAGTCCAGGTGTCCACGATCCGTTGGCAGATCGTTGCCTAAGTGCCTTGGCGCTGTCTCTCTGTCTTGGTGAATGTGTGTTCTCCTTCTCTCATCCACTGCTCCCACGCAGCTCACACTTTCTCTTTAGAACAGTCTTGAGTTTAAAGTGGGCGTTGTGAGCGTGTCTCTTGACAGGTGCATTTTGATATGAAAAAGAATCACAGTCTGTATTACTCCTGATGCTCCTGACTACGGGAGCCGGAATGCTGCAAGTGGAGCGGCTTTGTAGTTTACTAAAGTCGTACTAAGACACTCCAATAAATTCATATATAAGGTGCTCTGGATTATAAGACGCACAGTCGTTTTTTGATGAAATTAGAGGTTTTTAAGTGTGCCCTATAGTGCGGAAAGTACAGTATTTCTTTTTAAACATATATCATTGTTCCCTGTTCGAGGCTAAAGTGCTCAGGATAATTGTGTGTTCACCTACCCCCTGTCTCCGCCCTCTTACTGCTGCTAGTTAAAAACATTCACACTCCAGGTCGTACATGTTGGGTTCAAAAATGCTCCACTTTTCATTTATTGTTCATTGTTTGATTTTGCACCACATTGTCAAAGAAAATTCCCAGATTAGTAATTTTCAAACAAAGCATCTTTATCATTTTTGAGGAATGACACACATGATATTGGGTAAATGCAGTGTCGTCACATCATCTCAGAACTGTTTCATTGTGCATCTTTCTATTTCCTCATCACAAACAGACTTGGAGTTGTGTTTTGCTTCATTCACACATGTTCAACGCACAAATCCTGCACTTTTAGTTCTTCTCTTAAACTGAAAACACGTTCCACCTTGTGATGTCATCTGGTAATACGTACTTTTTTTTTTTTTTCTTTACCAGAATCATTTGGATAATTTCATCCTTGGAATTGCCAATCTCTACTGAACTAAAGGCAGCTGTTAACTTCATGACATCACAAGATGGAACAGAGCATTTTGATTTTTGGAGATATACACAGACTAGTAGTAAAGGATTACCGTATTTTTCAGACTATAAGTCACTCCAGAGTATAAGTCGCACTTTTTGGAGAAATGTATTTTATAAAATCAGAGACCAGGAAATGACATTTCATCATGAAAGTCAAGTTGTAGTAATAACAATAGAAGAGAGAACAACAGACTGTTAACGTCACATATTTCACAGTTCTTCAGATAAACTATATAACAAACAACAGAACAGAACAAGTTTACCAAACTCTCCATCTCACTCCAAATCACTAAATCCATTCAATTCTTCATCCTCGGTGTCACTTCTGAACAACTCCACGACCTCCGGAGGTAAACAGAGCGCCACTTCCTCTTGTGCGTGTGTCGTCCCGTCCCGACAGGATGGTTTCGGTGTAACTGAAGTCCAGGCTTTGTCCATCCATCCAATGACTTCCAAGGAAAGTTACACTGTGGACCCTCCCCATTACCGTGAAGCTGTGTTCTCCATCCTCGCTTTCCACCAGTCCTTCACAAGTTTCTCGCTGACACCAGACTTTCTTTCTGCTGCTCGATTATTGTTTTTGGCTGCATATTTTACTATTTGCAGCAGGACAGCCACAGTAGAGCCAAATGACAGTGGTACAGGAGTAATAGGAGCAGCAGATACTGACACACAAACCTAGGGCGCCCTCTAGTGGCTGTCAGTATGACAGTTTTTATATATAAGTCACAGCAAACACCCAAACCATGAAAAAAGTGTGACTTATAGTCCGAAAAATACGGTAGTCAAATCAGCAGTTTGCATTTCTGACACTTTTTTAGTTTGAGGTGGTCACCCTTGTTTATGTTTGTATCTGAACTTGTATGAAATAAATGTCTGTTCAGTAATAATAATAATAATAATACATTTTATTTATATTGCACTTTACATAAAATAATCTCAAAGTGCTACAGGTAAAAAAAGTATTGTTTTACTGTAAAGACCACTCCAAGTTTTTTGTTTTTTTTTTAGAAATTCTTTTTAGTTTCACAAAAGTAGTGACTCAAATGGTGAATCAAATGTTAAAATGTTTTTATCTCTTCTTTAAGAATCTGTATTTGCACATATTTTGGATGATACAATTCTGAAATCATAGGCCTAAATGTGCCAAAATAAAAAAAAAAATGCACAATGTAAATATGATGTACACATTTTGTTAAAGTTATTCATGGTCAATTGTAATGATTATTTGATGTAATTTTAAATAAAAATAATGACACTGCAAATGTAATGTGTGTGAACAATCTTTATTTGAGTTTGAGGTGTTTCCTTTGCACCTGCGGAATAAAGAGACAGAATGTTGGTCAGTAAAAGAAATTAAAAATACTTTCAAATCTTTCAGGATGTAAGTCTAGGGACAGTCTCATGAGCTTCTAAAATTGGTCGTTAGGGAGAAAAAGCTGAGGAAACTACATTGACCATGATCCTTTGCTCCAACATTACATAATACAACATATAGTACTAGTCTGCTTAATCTTGAATATAGTAGTATTGACACTAGTTTAAGTGTATTTACTGCAGTACCTGTAGTATTGACACTAGTTTAAGTGTATTTACTGCAGTACCTGTAGTATTGTCAGTAGTTTAAGTGTATTTACTGTAGTACCTGTAGTATTGTCAGTAGTTTAAGTGTATTTACTGTAGTACCTGTAGTATTGTCAGTAGTTTAAGTGTATTTACTGTAGTACCTGTAGTATTGTCAGTAGTTTAAGTGTATTTACTGTAGTACTTGTAGTATTGTCAGTAGTTTAAGTGTACTTCCAGTAGTACCTGTAGTATTTTGAGTAGTATCTGTAGTAGTATTTGGAGTAGTATTTGTCGGTCAGTTGCAGGTGTAGGCGTACTCCAGATACAGAGATGTGTTTGCGCAGCTCTCCTCCACCACCATCTCTGCCGCTCGCACTTTACAACGGTTCTTCCCATCGCACCTGGAGACCAAACATGTCCTGGTTTAGATCCGTCTTAGACCTGCCGTAGTCCTGGTTTAGACTGGGTTTAGACTGGGTTTAGACCTGCTGTAGTCCTCATTTAAACCTGATTTAGTCCTGATTTAGTTCTGGTTTAGACCTAATTTAGAATTTGTTTAAAACTGGTGTAGTCCTGGTTTAGTCCTAGAGTAGTCCTTTAGTAGTCCTGGTTTAGTCCTGGTTTAGTCCTGCAAGGTTTAGTCTTCATTTAGTTCTATAATTTTCCTTATTGCACCCGAATCCAGATTAAGACCTGGACTTAAACCTGGTTTTGATCTGGTTTAATCCTAGAAGTGAGTTAGTCCCAGTTTCAGTCCTGGTATAGTCCTGGTTTAGTCCTTGTATAGTCCTGGTTTAGTCCTGGTTTAGTCCTCATTTAATCCAGGTTTAGTCCTGATATAGACCTGGTTTAATCCTGGTTTAGTCCTGGTTTAGTCCTGATATAGTCCTGGTTTAGTCCTGGTATAGTCTTGGTTTAGTCTTGGTGTAGTCCTGGCGTAGTCATTGTTTAGTAATGGTTTAGTCCTGGTTTAGTCCTAGTAGTGCTGGTTTAGTTCTGTTTTCTGTATTGCACCTGAGCAGGAAAACAGGTAGGCTGCAAGTCCTGGTTTAGACCAGGTTTAGACCTGGTTTAGACCTGGTTTAGACCTGGTTTAGACCTGGTTTAGACCAGGTTTAGACCTGGTTTAGACCTGGTTTAGACCTGGTTTAGATCTATTTTACAGCATTTGCAGTTCTTGCTCTCAGATTGTAGATTTGTTGACCTGGTTTATTCCTGGACCTGTCCACATGAAACAAAAACTGGCACAAAATTCAGCGTCTTGTCTGGCATAAACTCTGTTTCCCTTGGAGTGTGTGTGTGTTTAGTTACATTTGGGCCACAATAGGCACTGGTTTGGAGCAGTCGATCTTTTGGACCAGAGCCGGTTCTCGTCTGAAGGCACAGGTCACATGATCCCTCCTCCCGAAGTCTGCTCCCAGGACTTTAATGGTTTTACCAGCGTCTGAAGAGAAAGCACTGTTTTAAAGGTGTTTTACCTGATTATTACTGTCTAAAAAACAGAACTAGTTTATTTGAAAGAGTTTGCAGTGGTCCAAACTACAGGGGTGTTGTCACAATGCTAAACAAAAGCTTGATTTTGATACAAACAACAGAGATAACCACAAAAATAATAAAAAACACACTTTCTTTAGAAAATAGACTGTGATTTTCAAGTGTAAATCATATATGTGTGTAATCCTCAGTGGTCCAGGTAGGTTCCATGTGTGTATACTAGTCTATGTGCTCTTCTACTTGTTCTGATACGGCTCCACATCTAAACACATGCTAAAAACCTTCAGGAAAACTTCATTTCTGTATTTTCATTGGGACTTTTTTAGTATCGTGTAGCATTAAATGGTTTTAAGACAAAATGGAATTGTGATTTTTCTGGCAGATATTGTGGTTTTGATTTCAGCCACGATTTTTTCAAATCAAGTTTCAGTGCACAGGAACGTTTGCAAACATCACAGGAACTCACATCATACCAGAGTCCTGCACCGCTGGACCATAACTACACGTCAGATCAACAGGGGAAGAGACGCAGAATATGAGTGTTCTTTCTGTGACAGAGGGGTGTGCTGCTGATGGTGAGTCTGGTCTGTGCCTCTATTGCATTGGAGATGGCTCATGTTAAACTTTACACTAGGGGTGGGCAAACTACGGCCTGGGGGCCATATGCGGCCCTTTAATCTTTTTAATCTGGCCCGCCGAACTTGAATAATAATAATTTTCAGTGTTTTAAAAGTAATTTCAATAAATAGTAAATACCATGGGACTTATACAGATATTTTGTTGTAATACTTTGCAATGATTTTCAATTATGGGATATTTCAATAACATGGGATACGTTTTCTACATATCCCTTATTATTTTTTTCTCTTATGAGGTGGATTACCAAAAAACTCCATCCCACTGCTCCTGGTTCGGCCAAATTTTAGAACCCTTTGTGGCCCATGAATCAAAAAGTTTGCCCAACCCTGCTTTACACAAACACCAGGTTTAAATCCTAGTCTCCTAGTGGGGCATAGACCTCGAACCAGATCCATCAATTTATAAATTGGGCTTCAGGAGCACATGGCTTTGACAATCTCAAAATTGTGTTGTCTGAGATCACAATTTTCGGTCCAAAATGGTACATCGTTCAGTTCAGTATCATGCTCAGTTGTTTATAAGCACTTATCTGTTCTGGGGACAGACACGTTTGGCTCAGCTGCATGGAGAAAAAAAACGACTGCAGGAACTTTTAATAGAAAACAATAAGCTCCTTGTCTATAGGATAAAGATTGTTTGAAGATAGAGGGAACTACAGAAAGATGAAACAGGTCAATAGAGACATGTACATCCAATAAAAGCTGTGACTGCAGGTTGGATCCAAAGACAAAAAATGTGCAAAAACAGATAAAGGTTAGCACTGCAGTACTTTGAAGCTCCCACATTTAGATTTTAATGACACCACAATGTGATGTTTGGGTCAAGTCTTTCTTCGGACATGAGTGAAGAAGAGCGTCACATTGTGATGTCATTAAAATCTAAATTTGGGAGTTTCAGAGTGCTGCAGTGTTAATCTCTTTCTTCTGTATAAAGATGAACCAAGAGAGTGTTTTAGGTCCAGTATTTTGTCTGAAAATGTCATCTTGATAATGGATCAAAAATAAAAATATTAAAATAAATATCAGAACAGTTTTAGTGTAAAATGAGCCTAATGAAGGAAAACAGACTCACCGCACTGCAGATAGGCCATGGAGTGCTCACACACCACACGATGGACTGTGGACCAGACAGAAGACACTTTATTCAAAGGCACAGACACACCCTGTAGACTAAAGAGAATGAGTAAGGCCGCAAGCAGCAATAAAGGCCCTGGCCCCGCACAGACTCACTGGCCGGGACGCAGGAGTAGGACGTCTCCAAGTATTTGAACGTGCCGCTGCAGGGGTCCTCCAAAAACACATTGGCGTTCAGCTCACACCATTTTTTTCCATTACACCTGAGAGCAGAGACGAGAGAAGGAACAGAGAGAACAGAGACGAGAAAGGGAACAGAGAGAGAGGAGAGACAGGGAAGGTGTGTTTTTTTAAATACATTTTAATAGTAATGCTTTAGTCTTAGTCTACGTTCAGACTGCAGGGCTTAACGCTCAGTTCAAATTGTTTTGTGAAATCCGATGTTTTTGCGAGGTCGTTCACATTTCCAATTAAATGTGACTTGTATGTGACTCCAGTGTGAACATTAAATGGTCTGAAAATGTCGGAAGAGCATGTGCACTGGAGACACGACGACGTCAACCGCAGTGAGCGTCTCTGTGTTTACAGAAGTTGTCCAAACATGGACGCAGCATTGAGCACCTGGAGATTTTAAAGTTCCTCTCGTACCGGAGCCAGAACATGAACAACTTACTTGTTTTAAGGAGGAGAAGGAGAAGGACGAGGTTTTTAGTCGTGGTGTTTTGTGGTTCAGTCCGTTGAAAGGAACGTGTGGATGTGGAGACGGAGCCAAGAGTGGTGAGTGGAGATGTGCTTCACTTCAGTGACACGGAGTTCATTAACAATTTTCACCTACTTCAGCGCAGAATAGTGACGTTTGTGTCTTGTTGATAACGTGTAGGTGGATGAATGTGCTTTGGCCGTTCAGACTGAAGTCACATGTCAAAAGATCAGATATGTATCAGTTTCAGGAGCACATATCCAAGTGTCCTGGGTCACATTTGAAAAAAATTTGATCTGTGTCATTCAGACTGTCCTTAAAAGATCAGATACAGGTCTGTAATAGCCTGGTGGCAACCTTAGCAGTTTTAGAGGAACAGAGTCAAGTTGAGCCGGTTTACAGTGCAGATCCCAGTGCATTTATTCCAGACAAAAGACAAAAAAACTATTTACAAAAGTTCCAAAAAAGGTTAAAAACAGGCATGGCAGTTACCTGCGCTCACCCAGCACCTCTCCCTGAACAAGGTGAGCCTAGCTTCTTTTAAAGGCCCTGTCCTAATTGGGTGAGCCCACTTTAACGACTAGGTAAGCTCCATATACTTTTATATTTAATATCTAAAATCTAACTATCAACACAGTGCCCAAACAATATCCAATTACATTAATTACAAATATATATATATATATATCTTTATTTAAATTAGCAGTGTTTAATGATCTAAAATACTAAATAGAAAAAAATTTAAATTTGTGCTCATGAACCGGAAGATATAGGTCAAAAAAGCCGCTAAGAACTGTTGCGTTGGTGGAGTAAACAGCGTCTGTGCGTCTGTGGACTGTGTGACAGTCGTACGTAAACCAGGTAATGGCAGCGCACAGGCAAGTCAGTTACACTAGAAACGTAGGGAGTTTGATTGACAGCCTGTCAGCTCACAGATAACGAGGCAGTGTCGTTATCTATTGGCAAATGTTTAGCCCCACCACGTCCAGAGTTGATGAATTTTTATTCTCTTTTTTTTGCTTATCATAATTACAAGGCTACTGTACCTCTATAATCTATCACTGACAATTTGAAACAAAAAAAATCCTCCATACAACCTTTAAGGTGCTCCAGCTGCCCGGGGACTCTTTTGCCTGGAGCACCTGAGGCAGACCGCACCAGAGGGTAAAGTACGATTACTTTAACACAATCACTTAGATTTAAATGCACTTTTACTTTTTACTTATTTCCTTTTCTTTTACAGGTAACTTCAATCTGCACATAATCAATTTTCAATAAACATTTCTAAAACTTTGTTTCAGTTCCTCATTATTTTACCTTTTAATTAGCCCTAGGCCCATGTAATGGACTGGCTACATTACAAGGTCACATAGAGGCCAAAAAACTGGATTTGGGTCACTTCAGGCTGCAGTGTGAACGCAGCCATACTCTGCCACTTTTTTTTTTTTTCTTTTTTCTTTTTTTTTTTAATGCATTTATTTTGGGAAAGTAAACATTTACATTTATATACAATGGAACATATGACATAAGTGAAATCATAATAGAAATGAAAATAACAACAACTACTAATAAGTATTATTATTACTATTTTGCCCAAAAAGGAGTTGGAAGAAGAAAACTTATTTAATCCCACCCCTACTCTTCATAATCTAACACAATAATCTTATTTTGCGTTTTTCAGACAACTCTGCCTCTCTGCCACTCTGCCTCTCTGCCTCTCTGCCTCTCTGCCTCTCTGCCTCTCTGCCACTCTGCCTCTCTGCCTCTCTGCTCTCTGCCTCTCTGCCTCTCTGCTCTCTGCCTCTCTGCCACTCTGCCTCTCTGCCTCTCTGCCTCTCTGCTCTCTGCTCTCTGCTCTCTGCCTCTCTGCCTCTCTGCCTCTCTGCTCTCTGCCTCTCTGCCTCTCTGCCTCTCTGCCTCTCTGCTCTCTGCCACTCTGCCTCTCTGCCTCTCTGCCTCTCTGCCTCTCTGCCTCTCTGCCTCTCTGCCTCTCTGCCACTCTGCCTCTCTGCCACTCTGCCTCTCTGCCTCTCTGCCACTCTGCCTCTCTGCCTCTCTGCCACTCTGCCTCTCTGCCTCTCTGCCTCTCTGCCTCTCTGCCTCTCTGCCTCTCTGCCTCTCTGCCACCACCAACACTCACATAACATTTATACAGTGGAGGCAGGGCACCAACTCGAGGCCACAGGTACAAACCCTCTTGGGCCCACACCAGGTTTGTTTCTATAAAATGCACATACAGGTCTGTGGTACTGAACAAATGACCCCACAGTGACCCTCACACACACACACACACACGCGCACACACACACACACACACAGACTCACACACACACACACACACACACACACACACACACACACACACACACACACACAGACTCACACACACACACACACACACACACACACAGACACTCCCCCCACAAGGAGTCACTGTGATTTTAGAAAAGCAGAAGTGTACATGTGTGTGCACGGGGCAGGGGGAGTAGAGGTCAGAAGTGTACATGTGTGTATGGGGCAGGGGGGTAGAGGTCAGAAGTGTACATGTGTGCACGGGGCAGGGGGGTAGAGGTCAGAAGTATACATACATGTGTGTATGGGGCAGGGGGGGAGGTCAGAAGTATACATACATGTGTGTATGGGGCAGGGGGGGTAGAGGTCAGAAGTATACATACATGTGTGTATGGGGCAGGGGGGGTAGAGGTCAGAAGTATACATACATGTGTGTATGGGGCAGGGGGGGTAGAGGTCAGAAGTATACATGTGTGTATGGGGCAGGGGGGGTAGAGGTCAGAAGTATACATGTGTGCACGGGGCAGGTGGAGTAGAGGTCAGAAGTGTACATGTGTGCACGGGGCAGGGGGGGTTGAGGTCAGAAGTGTACATGTGTGCACGGGGCAGGGGGGTTGAGGTCAGAAGTGTACATGTGTGTATGGGGCAGGGGGGGTAGAGGTCAGAAGTATACATGTGTGCACGGGGCAGGTGGAGTAGAGGTCAGAAGTGTACATGTGTGCACGGGGCAGGGGGGTTGAGGTCAGAAGTATACATGTGTGCACGGGGCAGGGGGGGTTGAGGTCAGAAGTGTACATGTGTGCACGGGGCAGGGGGGGTTGAGGTCAGAAGTGTACATGTGTGTATGGGGCAGGGGGGTAGAGGTCAGAAGTATACATACATGTGTGTATGGGGCAGGGGGGGTAGAGGTCAGAAGTATACATACATGTGTGTATGGGGCAGGGGGGTAGAGGTCAGAAGTATAACATACATGTGTGTATGGGGCAGGGGGGGTAGAGGTCAGAAGTATACATGTGTGTATGGGGCAGGGGGGTTGAGGTCAGAAGTATACATGTGTGCACGGGGCAGGGGGTTGAGGTCAGAAGTGTACATGTGTGCACGGGCAGGGGGGGTTGAGGTCAGAAGTGTACATGTGTGTGTATGGGGCAGGGGGGTAGAGGTCAGAAGTGTACATGTGTGCATGGGGCAGGGGGGGTGAGGTCAGAGTGTACATGTGTGCACGGGGCAGGGGGGTTGAGGTCAGAAGTGTACATGTGTGCACGGGGCAGGGGGGGTTGAGGTCAGAAGTGTACATGTGTGCACGGGGCAGGGGGGGTTGAGGTCAGAAGTGTACATGTGTGTATGGGGCAGGGGGGGTAGAGGTCAGAAGTATACATACATGTGTGTATGGGGCAGGGGGGTAGAGGTCAGAAGTATACATACATGTGTGTATGGGGCAGGGGGGTAGAGGTCAGAAGTATACATGTGTGTATGGGGCAGGGGGGGTAGAGGTCAGAAGTGTACATGTGTGCACGGGGCAGGTGGAGTAGAGGTCAGAAGTGTACATGTGTGTGGGGCAGGGGGGTTGAGGTCAGAATGTGTGTATGGGGCAGGGGGGTAGAGGTCAGAAGTGTACATGTGTGCACGGGGCAGGTGGAGTACAGGTCAGGTCACATACAGGGTTTCTGAGCTAATCCCTCAGTCTGACATAAACAGTGCTGTTCACCTGCTCTGGAGCTCCTGCAGTGCGTCAGCGTGGGAACAGGCCGTGTTGGCGACCTCTTCTGGTGACTTTCCGCCAGCGCAGGTGTCAGTGTCAGCACGACCGTAGAACGCTGTGTCCACACTGATCACTCCACTGTCTGAAGCAGATGCACCACAGGGTTTAGTAATCATACAAAGTCTGGTTCAATGTTTGGAAACTTTCCTTTATGCACTGTAAACGCTTCTACAAATTTCTCTTCAAATATTAAAATAAATTATAAAAAATGTTGACCTTGAAGAGTCACCTTGTGCTAAATCAAACTTGTTTTTAGATTTGTGCATCTTTCTTTTATTAAGTCATCTTAGATATTGTCTTATATTACCAACATGTTACCTAATGACCCACACATAGGTTCAAACAACAGCAGACTGCAAGTGTGCATCTCTTTTGAATAAAAGCATAATACCATTAAGTCGAGGGCATGTTCTTACCACAGTTGAGGCGGTGCACGTGGGCCCCACAGGTCACAGTTTTATCTGTGCACGCCCCTGGAACAGAACAACACAAGGTACTACTCCAGAAATGTAGTTAATATTATTAACTGAGATTCAGGAGCAGGACCACGCCTCAGCCGCCCTCTCCTCTCACCAGTGAACCACAACTCGACCCCACCCTCCCACCCCTATTTTGTTCGTCTTTCAGTCATAAGACCCCTACAAGCGGGATACTGTTCCTGCTGGGCCAATTGTAAATTGAGACGGAGCCCCCACCCAGAGTCTCAACCAGCCATCTCTGCCTCGCTTCGTACATTATCAATAAACGTCTTCACACTATGTCATTGCTGGCGTGGTCTGAGCTAGTGAAACTACATTTAATTACTTCAATACAGTTTATTGTCCCAAATGTAAAGTGATTTTATGAGTTTGTGTCCCTTGAACTGGAGTTTCTCATTCCTAAAGTGTGATTAGATGAAGCTGCTCACAGACACAGGAACACTCCTCACACACACTGAATGACAGAGACAGAGAGTTTCACTGCTGTTCAGTCACTCAAGAATCTGGAATCATAGTAAACTCATAACACTAAAATCTGACGTTGTGACATCTTTAACTTAACTCTAACTCTCTTTCAACCTGGTTTAAACAAAATTGAATCGTTTTTGAACATAAATGTGAAGTGTGAAGTTGTTTTACCTGTGTGAAGAAGTAGAGCCGCTGTGGCCACAACTGAAAAGAGCAACCAGATTATTCCACACAGTTCTAAAGTGTGTTACTGTTAATCACATAATCTCATTCTTTTTAAATAAATACTGTAATTGAACTCATGAATTGTGTGAATGATGTGGACACTCGTCTAATCGGCAGAGCTGCTTTTGTCCATGAAGATGCTGTGGAACTTTCCAGGCAAAGACATTGTATCTCTGTGGAGACGAGCAGTTGGCAATGGACTTTTTAAAGAGTTTAAGATATTAAACACTCAACTCTGCGCTCATTCAAAACTTTTCTGACATTGTGGAGTGATATATGTATTTACAGAAGTGATCCACAGGTTTATCAGGCTGTTTTACTCTTTGTAAAGTTTTGTATTTTTTTAAATAAACTTTTTAATATAGTTTTGGTGAATGCAGCTTTATGGAGTTTATACTCAAATAATGTGGTCATCTCCAACCTGTATGCAGACTGTGGAGACACCCTGAAGAACAATATCTGTGTCTGTGTGCGTGTATGTTTGTGTGCATGTGTGTATGTGTATGTGTATGTGTGTGTGTGTGTGTGTGTGTGTGTGAGACTCACAGAGGCAGAGACAGAGTTGGTCCATGGTGAAGATGCTGCTGCTGCTGCTGCTCTCGTGGTTTATATTCACACACGTTATGAAACTGTTTCATCACACACATACATATACACACACACACACACACACACACACACACACACACACACACACACACACACACACACACACACACACACGTCCTCAGCTCCTCTGACTTTGGCCATTTATTATTGACATAATCAGTCTGGACCCATGTTGTGGGGTTATTCAGGTTTTACAGTGAACGACCTTCACAACATCTCCCCACAGACTCCTGCTGGGGTCAAAATTCATCTGTGCCAAAGATACACTTTATTTAGTTTATTATTATTATTCAAAGGTGTTAGAGACTAAAAGAGCTCCCCCCATTAACACACAACTGTCCTCCAGTGAAGTTTTCTCCCCATTTGTAAAGTGTCTCATTTGTAAATCTGTATTTGATCCATTCTTCAGTGTCTCTGGGTTAACCCTGTCAGGAGCAGAGGGACTCATCTCCAGATCTTGAGCTAGTCTTGGTCAGGACTACTTTAGCTGGAGGATTTGTTCTACTCACAGACTTCGTGTCAGACTGGAGTGAGCACGTGCGGCTGCAGAAGAATGTCTCTAACACTGGACTAGCAGCACAGATCTCCACAGGGCTGTGTACTCTCCCCTCTGCTCTTCTGTTCACCACCTCTGCACCTCCAGCACTGCACCACTCTGTCTCCATCTTTCATGTCTATCCAGATGTGTCCCTGAGCACAGTAGGCAGGAGCTCCAGACAGGTTTAACCATTGGTCAGATGATGGAGGATGGGTCAAATGCAGAGAATGAATCAATAAAGTGAACCTTACCCAAAGTTCCTCTGTGCTCCTGGTTTATCTCCTGATCACGTCTGCTCTGGTGATGTTTAAATCGAGGCTCTATGCTCTTCTGTTTACGGTGATGACTGAAAGGTTCTGTTCAGCTGCATATTTAATGTTCTTATGATTATTTATGCTTTTATTAATTTGCATTGTGCACTGAATGTCTTGCTTATTGTGTAAGTCTATTTGAACTACTTTGTGTACAAATCGTCCTAAACAAATAACCTGAACTCAACTCAAAGTGTTGTATGGATGTAATATGTGCCAGGATTGTGTGTGTCCTGGCTCCACTCGCCTCTTTTCCCAGCAATGATCATCTGTATTTATTTTTCCTGAGAATAAAAATTGTGTGTTTTGGAATCTGTGAAATCAACTTTGAACCTTAATGTTTGGAGCAGAGTTCCACAGGCCCAGTCCAAACAGAGGCAGACCCAGACACCAGGTCAATGGCATTACATCTGCCACCGACCCTCTGGATACTTAAAGCAAACTAAGTTAGCACGACTATGTTTAAAGACATACTGAGGAAAACCCAGGCAAAGCACTGACGTCTCCATGGCAACAGATCCTCCCCATAAAAGGTGCTCAGTGTATCTTTAAAGTTATAGTACGTATTATTGTGAAGTCACCATGCACTGGTGTAAACAGCAAAGACGTCTTGGCTCAGATTCACTGACCATGTTTGGTCTTTTTATTATAGAGCTAAAACCAGAGGGCCAATCCTGCAGCAGGTACTTCAGGCTCACATCTGGTCCACTGCTCCTGACAGGAAACCCTGCACAACAAGATGGAGTCTCTGAAGGAGTGTGCTGCTGTATGGTCAAGTGGGCAGGTGGACCAATCATGTTGCAGCATTGAGGTTTGTGCAGAAACCAAAGGCAAAGTGCAAAACCAAACCACAGCACATGGTGACACAGACAGACGTACTTCAGCCTGTTTCAGACTCCCTACAGACTGTTTAGTTTGTGAAAACAGAAGGAAGATGTTTGTGCATCTGTGGAGGAAAATGGCAGGACTTCTCTCTCACTTTTAACTCAAGTTTGATTTTTCAACTTGTTGAGACGCTTCGACCAATCAGATTCAAATATTCATCATGACGTTCTGCAGTTTCTGATCTCTTTTAGTGAGTTTCAGATTGACTATGGCCCTGTTTCAAGAAGCAGCTTTAGTCCAAACTCAGACTTTGTGCTCCTCTACATGTCTTTTATAATAAACTTGACTGATCTGTCAAAGCATGTTCTGCAGTCACATGACTCCCTCTGAGATGGAGGCCTCCTCTGGTTTACTGCTGCCACAGTGAATCCTTGTGTCTTCTGTTAAATCCAAGGTTTCTAACTCTATTCCAAACCTGATGGGTGAAAGAGAAATCTCTGAGTTGTCTGTCTCAAGGGAGATTAACCCTGAGTTAACTCTTAAATCCAGGGTTTGTTGAGCCTCTTTGTGAAACACAGCCAAAGTGTAGAACTCCCTTCAGAGTGACACACAGGTGCAAGCTCACATACAGGAGCATTCTCTTTTTCTGTCATTATTCATTGTGGTGGTAAAAACAGTCATTGTCAGCAAAGCACCGTGACCCCCTCACCCTCTTGGACACTGTTACAGTGGATCCAGGGCGTCGGGGTCAGTGTACACACACAGTTACGTAAAGTGAGGACAGAGTTGTATAAAGGCTCAGTGTGTGTTCCTAGTTCAGTTCATTCGTTCTGCTCCAAACGCACCATGAACCGCTTCACCCTCAAACTCTGTGAGTAAAAGAATACTCTTTTATTTCAGACCTGCTTTAGTCCTGGTCACTGCAGACTTCCATATTTAACCTGTTCAACGTCAGCTCATTTGGACCTGGTTGGAGTCGGTGTTAAAGACAAAACTTGTTATAGTTATAATAGTTTCTTCTCATTGACCCTGTGAAGTTGTATTGTGATTCGTACATGTTTGACAGAGCTGCTAAATCATTTTGGCACAAATTATTAAGTTATGAAGTTACAACAAAATTATTATGTCATTTTAGATCAAATTTTTCAATAATATAAGTAAATAAACAAATAAAACATACATACATGTGTTTTCGTTGTGGTGTGAACATTTTGAGAATGACACAGGTCAAATGTGTCTTGTGTTTTTCAGTTGTGGCAGTGGCCTGTCTGCTCCTCGACGCAGGTAAAAAACAACTCACCTGGAGACTCGGGTTTGTGGGTCCAGGTCCAAGGACACATGATCCACTGGGGAAATGACTGGGACACAGTTATAATTGTGTGCTAATGCTCTATTTCTGCAGGAGTTTCTGGGTTTAAAATGACAACCTGTGGCCCTCACGTGCACCGCCTCACCTGTGGTAAGCCCCGCCTCCAAATGTCCACCAGTCCAGTTTGTGATCTCGATAGGGCTAAGGTGGCTTTAAGTATCATACCAAATCATGTTTTTGTACAAAGCAACAAAACTGATTCAAATGTGAAATATTCCAGCTGTGTACAGGCTGAATCTCATATCTACAAAAGCAGGAAGTGAGATGTTAGCATGCTAAATGTTGCTAACTTTATTGTCACAACAAACTCCAGTCTCGCACCTCTTAAAAAAAAAAAAAAAAAAAAAAGTGCTTATAAAGTCATCTTGGTGAATAAGTAGGAAGCTCTGAATGCATGAGGGACGTGAGGAAGAACTTGCAAACTGTTTACAGTCAACTAGTTGTTTTTTTGAAGTGCAATCATAAGTGTACATCTGTCAAGTAAATGTGCAATCAAAAGTGCACATCTGTCAAGTAAATGTGCAATCAAAACTGCACATCTGTCAAGTAAATGTGCAATCAAAACTGCACATCTGTCAAGTAAATGTGCAATCAAGGAAATGTGCAATCAAAAATGCACATCTGTCAAGGAAATGTGCAATCAAAAATGCACATCTGTCAAGGAAATGTGCAATCAAAACTGCACATCTGTCAAGTAAATGTGCAATCAAGGAAATGTGCAATCAAAACTGTGGATACTGTAGGTCAAGGAAATGTGCAATCAAAAGTGCACATAGGTCAAGGAAATGTGCAATCAAAAGTGCACATGGGCTTAGGGAGTGTGCAATTATGACTAGAATAGAAGCTTGTGAAGTGCTTTCCTGTACAGAGTGATTAAAGGTCCTGTTGGCGCGTCACTCGTGCTCAGACTTAGTGTTATATTTACTTCTGTTCTGTGGTGGATGTTTGTTTGCTGCTTGTGTTGTGTTGTCTCGTCTTTGTGTTAAAGCTGTGATCCCGTGTCCCAAGACAAATTTATCCCATGGGAGAGAATAAAGAATGATCTTATGTTTTTGAGTGATACACTTTAACTGTTACAGAGACTGGAGTGATAAACGTGACCAGTGCTTTCTTCGGACGCGCCGACATAGGCACCTGCGCTGGCGCAAAGGAGCCAGGAGAGGTCACCAACACACAGTGCTCCCTGGACTCTGCCATGGACCTGGTCACCAGAAGGTGCAGAGGGAATAGCCCACAATGTCATCTGTAAAACTGTCTAAACCTGTTGATACTTTGCACTGACTTTACTCTGGGGGTGTTCTACATGTATTTCTATGAAGGAATGTTCAGCAATTAATGATGCACTCAAGAGCAAACACAGTAAAAAGAGTGTTAAGATCATCTGAAAACTCATAAAACAATACAAAATGGATTTAAAGAGCACATTTTCAGGAGCCTGGGATCAATACGAGCCTGTTTAGAATTTTGATTTTCAACAAAAAGGTGAGAGTGACTAACTGAGAAACTGTAAAAAGAAGGTTCCAGGTTCAGTCTCTTGGTTGCACAGGCCTTTCTGTGTGGAGTTTGCATGTACTCCCCGTGTACATCCCTCCAGGCGCTCCATCAACCCAAAACATGCACCATGGGTCAAATCCTCCAGCTAAAGCAGTCATGACTAAGTCTCACAACAAGATCGTGATGGGTCCCCAGGCGCCCCATGTGCTGCCCACTGCAGGGTCCACAGTTAGGATCACACCCTCAGGGAATGTTGATGAGTTCAGCTGCAAAGTATCAGTAAATAACCTGTAGCACTCACATACATGTTTGTACGAGCTCAGGTGCACTGGAAAGAAAGTGTGTGAGCTGAACGCCAACTGCTTTGACCACGACCCCTGCCCCGAGACCTTCAAGTACATCCAGAGCACATACACCTGCATCCCAGCCAGTGAGTCTATTACAACTATTACATTTTATTTTTGACCAAGATTGTGCAAAATGTACTTTTTACACCGTTCTATGGATTTATATTTGTGTCTTCTTCTCATTTACCCGGTGGATGATGCATTTAGAGTGATTCATACATGTTTGAGTCGTCTTTAATCCACGGGTGCCAAACATTATTACTACAAAACAGTCTTCCTTAAAGAGATATTTTACAAAATCAACTTTGTGGAGCATTCTATATCATGTTATAACATAGTTCATACTAGGGTTTTATATTTTCGTTTGTGAAAACCCAGACACCTTGGGGGGGAGGGGGGACTAGTCAGGACTAATCTTGGACTTAAGAGAGAGAACGCCGAGCAGTTTGTCCGCAAAGCGCGATCGGGCAATTGCTGCGTTTACCTCCGTGAGGTACGGAGCTGAGCCGCTCCTTTCTCCTGCGTCACCTCCAAGCCCGTCCTGACAGTGAGTCCTGTTTCAGTTCTGGTTTAGTCCTGGTTTAGTCCTAGTTCACTGGTGGATTAGTTCTCCTCTTCAGTCCTGGAATCAGTCCTGGGTTAGTCCTGGTTTAGTCTTGATTCAGTCCAGCGCAAAAGTTTGATATAATCTCGGGTTAACGGGCAGGTGCGGTCCTGTACTGGCAGGTGCGGTCCTGTACTGGCGGGTGCGGTGTTGTACTGTGGGTCTCCAAAAATGGAGCAGTGCAGGACTCTGCGCTGTCGGCTCCATTACAGAATAAATGAATCTTCAGTTTGTTACATAAAGAAGGAGGAAAATGACAAAAGGACGACAGCAGCAACAAGTTTTAAGAAGGAAATAAAAAGTGTTGTAAGTGTCCTGTCTGAGAAAAGTGTATAAAGTTTGTGCTGAGGGGTTTTACAGTATTAAAACTATTATAGAATAATTGTAAAATATAAAGTTGATACTTTGTGGATTTCACCTATTGCGGGTTATTTTTAGAACATAACCCCCGCGATAAACGAGGGACACTGTCCTCTCACCTCACAAACTGTGCACATGACCTCACACTTGTCCTGACCGGGATGGGAAAGGGAGAATTTCTTGTACAAGTCATTGTTAAAAGCGCTTTTGTGCTTCGGAATCTTGCAGACTGACCGACTGTTTGTGTCTCGCTCCTTCTGAGTTACAGACGCTACGAGAGACGCTCAGTTTAATGAACGGTACAGAAAACCCCGGACATTTGCATCACTTTATAAAAAAAACAACTGGGAGGCCCAGGACAGGACGCAAAATACAGACATGTCTGGGGAAAAACAGATGTTTGGTCACCCTAGTTCATCCAAAACATGCCTGAAGAGGTTTTACATGTCATCCGTTCATGTTTGATTAATCTAGCGATCTCTCCTGGGCCTGACTCAAACCCTCCTCACTTTTAGCTGTAAGATTCTGTCCAAAGCTCCACCCACAAGCCTACGTCAGCCGTGCTCCCACATGGCCATTTTTTATACATATACTAAAGTAGGAAACAAAACAACACACGACAACTTGACAAACGTGATGCGATGTGCAGTAGTTTCATGAGCAGAATGCACACACACTGATTATGCTTTGAAAGTGCTCTGAAGCAATGTGCAGTGATAATGCCACACTTTCTTTACTGCATAATAAGTAGGTGACAGGCTTGTAAATCAGCTTTGAGGCCTCTAGAATCGTTATATAAAAGCCGATCAAGGCCCATAACAAGAAAAGTCGTCTCTTCCATCATTGTCATATTCTTTTGAAACATAGTATTTTAAATTTTGAAAATCTGATCATGTTTGCAAATGTTTGTCTGCTGTTTAAGATCATTCACGGTACTGCTGCTCCACCGCTAAAACTGTCTGTTTCTCTGAGCTCTGAAACCAGCTCCAAAGCCGCTCGATCCACTGTGCAGAACCACAAACGCAGAACAGCATTTGGAAACTCGGCCTTTTCGTGCGCAGCCGTCCGTCAGTGGAACATGCAGTGTTGGGAAGGTGACTTTTAAAATGTAATCCCCTACAGATTACAGATTACATACCACAAAATGTAGTTTGTAACATAATCCATTAAATTACTTAAAGTGAATAACTTAATTTGAATACTTTGGATTACTTGATTTCTTATAGAGAAGCAAAGACTAAGAAATATAAGATGTTTTGTCTGCTAAAAAAAAATGAAAAGGCCGAGTCTTTAAAAATATTATTGATAGAAGAGGAGGAGACACGCAGCATGGTCTAGGCCTGTTAAATCCTGTTTTAGTCCTGCTTTAGTCCTGGTTTTAGTCCTGGTTTTGTCCTAGTTTAGTCCTGGTTTTAGTCCTGTTTTAGTCCTTGTTTAGTCCTGCTTTAGACCTGGTTTAGTGCTGGTTTTAGTAATTGTTTAGTCCTGGTTTTAGTCCTGGTTTAGTCCTGGTTTAGTCCTGGGTTTAGTCCTGTTTTAGTCCTTGTTTAGTCCTGCTTTAGACCTGGTTTAGTCCTGGTTTTGTCCTAGTTTAGTCCTTGTTTAGACCTGGTTTAGTCCTTGTTTAGTCCTGGTTTTGTCCTAGTTTAGTAATGGTTTTAGTCCTGTTTTAGTCCTTCTTTAGTCCTGCTTTAGACCTGGTTTTAGTCCTTGTTTAGTTCTGCTTTAGTCCTGGTTTTAGTCCTGGTTTAGTCCTGGTTTAGTCCTGCTTTAAACCTGGTTTTAGTCCTTGTTTAGTTCTGCTTTAGTCCTGGTTTTAGTCCTTGTTTAGTCCTGGTTTAGACCTGGTTTAAACCTGGTTTTAGTCCTGCTTTAGTCCTGGTTTAGACCTGGTTTAGACCTGGTTTAGTCCTGGTTTAGACCTGGTTTAGTCCTGCTTTAGTCCTGGTTTAGACCTGGTTTAGACCTGGTTTAGACCTGGTTTAGTCCTTGTTTAGTCCTGGTTTAGACCTGGTTTAGACCTGGTTTAGTCCTGCTTTAGTCCTGGTTTAGACCTGGTTTAGACCTGGTTTAGTCCTGGTTTAGACCTGTTTAGTCCTGTTTAGTCCTGGTTTAGACCTGGTTTAGTCCTGGTTTAGTCCTGGTTTAGTCCTGGTTTAGACCTGGTTTAGACCTGGTTTAGTCCTGGTTTAGACCTGGTTTAGTCCTGGTTTAGTCCTGGTTTAGTCCTGGTTTAGACCTGGTTTAGTCCTGGTTTAGTCCTGGTTTTAGTCCTGGTTTAGACCTGGTTTAGTCCTGGTTTTAGACCTGGTTTAGTCCTGGTTTAGTCCTGTTTAGACCTGGTTTAGACCTGGTTTAGTCCTGGTTTAGTCCTGGTTTAGACCTGGTTTAGTCCTGGTTTAGTCCTGGTTTAGTCCTGGTTTAGACCTGGTTTAGTCCTGGTTTAGACCTGGTTTACCTGGTTTAGACCTGGTTTAGACCTGGTTTAGTCCTGGTTTAGTCCTGGTTTAGACCTGGTTTTAGTCCTGTTTGTTTAGTCCTTTTAGTCCTGGTTTAGTCCTGGTTTAGTCCTGGTTTAGACCTGGTTTAGACCTGGTTTAGTCCTGGTTTAGTCCTGGTTTAGACCTGGTTTAGACCTGGTTTAGTCCTGGTTTAGACCTGGTTTAGACCTGGTTTAGTCCTGGTTTAGACCTGGTTTAGTCCTGGTTTAGTCCTGGTTTTACCTGGTTTAGACCTGGTTTAGTCCTGTTTAGACCTGGTTTAGACCTGGTTTAGTCCTGGTTTAGACCTGGTTTAGTCCTGGTTAGTCCTGGTTTAGTCCTGGTTTAGACCTGGTTTAGACCTGGTTTAGTCCTGGTTTAGACCTGGTTTAGACCTGGTTTAGTCCTGGTTTAGTCCTGGTTTAGTCCTGGTTTAGTCCTGGTTTAGACCTGGTTTAGTCCTGGTTTAGTCCTGGTTTAGACCTGGTTTAGTCCTGGTTTAGTCCTGGTTTAGACCTGGTTTAGTCCTGGTTTAGACCTGGTTTAGTCCTGGTTTAGACCTGGTTTAGTCCTGGTTTAGACCTGGTTTAGACCTGGTTTAGTCCTGGTTTAGTCCTGGTTTAGTCCTGGTTTTAGTCCTGGTTTAGACCTGGTTTAGACCTGGTTTAGTCCTGGTTTAGTCCTGGTTTAGACCTGGTTTAGACCTGGTTTAGTCCTGGTTTAGTCCTGGTTTAGACCTGGTTTAGTCCTGGTTTAGTCCTGGTTTAGTCCTGGTTTAGTCCTGGTTTAGTCCTGGTTTAGACCTGGTTTTAGTCCTGGTTTTAGACCTGGTTTAGTCCTGGTTTAGTCCTGGTTTAGACCTGGTTTAGTCCTGGTTTAGACCTGGTTTAGTCCTGGTTTAGACCTGGTTTAGTCCTGGTTTAGACCTGGTTTAGACCTGGTTTAGACCTGGTTTAGACCTGGTTTAGACCTGGTTTAGACCTGGTTTAGACCTGGTTTAGACCTGGTTTAGTCCTGGTCAGGTTGGGTGAAACAGCAGCTCCTCTCAACCCTGCAGCTGCAGCTGGAGTGTGACTGATGAGTGTCTGATGAGTGAACAGAGACTGATGCTCTGGAGTCTGGAGTGAATGAAGTGAATGATGCTTTTGATAAGGACGATGTTTTGAAGATGCTGAGAGAAGTGGGAGTGAATGATGTTACAGAACTGTTCTGATGCTCCAAACATTATCAACACATTCTCTTTGTATGTTTGATTTTATGAACTAGAACATCAACCTGTCCAGAGACGACAGGTGGAAATGAACACTGACGCTACAACCTGGTCAGTGTTGGGGAGTAACAGATTACATGTACCAGACTTATGTAATCAGAGTACAAATTATGAGTAACTGTATTTGGTTACAGTTACTGTTTCAATGAGTGGTAATTGGATTACAGTTACTTTGTTGAAATAAATGGATTACAGGGTGGTATTTCAGTTTTCACATTTTGGACTATATCCCCCTTTTTTGGGGGGGGGTAATTCCACTCATTGCCAGACACTAAAACAGGTCCAAACCAGGTCTAAAACAGGATTTAACAGGACTAAATCCTGCTGTTGGACGTGTCTCCTCGTCTTCTATCAATAATATTTTTAATTTGGTTCAGTAAAGTTTTATCTTTTTATCTTCTTTTTGCAGACAAAACATCTTATGTTACGAAATCCTGGTCTTTGCTTCTCTACAGAAAATCAAGTAATCCAAAGTATTCAGATTACATTACTCACCTCAAGTAATTTCATGGATTCCGTTACCAACTATATTTTGGGATATGTAATCTGTAATCTGTAATCTGTAATCTGTAGGGGAATACATTTGAAAAGTCACTTTCCCAACACTGAACCTGGTACATGCATCTCTCCTGTTAATGTAGATTGTGCACTGTCCCTGTCTCATGAAATAAATAAACTAAACTAAACGGAGGGAGATGGACTTCGCACGGTGAGCACAGGGAGGGGAAACGTATCAAACATGTGAATACTGCACATTGTTTTCAGAGTGATCGAAATATGTCGAGATCTAATAGCCTGTCTTTAATGTTCTGTTCTGTCCTGTGCTCATGTCGTCTCTTCCAGTCCACATGATCGTGTGTGAACAGTCCCTGGCCCACCTCGAGTGTGGTAAGACTCTCGTTTACCACTGATGCCCTCCCACCCTGATGTTACGCTTGAATATGTTTTTTACTTCCAGATAACGGCAAGACGATACACGTGATTGGAGCAGACTTCGGGAGGAGGGACCACGTGACCTGTGGCTTCAGACGAGACCCGGCTCTGGTCCGAAGACTCGACTGCACCAACCCCATTGACTTTCCAGGACAAAAGTAAAGAACGGAAATAAACCAGGACTAACCCAGGACTAAAGCAGGACTAAACCAGGACTAAAGCAGGACTAACAGGACTAAACCAGGACTAAAAACTAGACTAAACCAGGACTAACCAGGACTAAACCAGGACTAACCAGAAACCAGGACTAAACCAGGACTAACTACCAGGACTAAGGACTAAAGGACTAACCAGGACTAAACCAGGACTAAAAGGACTAACCAGGACTAAACCAGGACTAAAGACTAACCAGGACTAAAGGCAGGACCAGGACTAAACCAGGACTAAACCAGGACTAAAGGACTACTCAGGACTAACCCAGGACTAAAAGGCAGGACTAAAGCAGGACTAAACCAGGACTAAACCAGGACTAAACCAGGACTAAACCAGGACTAAACCAGGACTAAAGGCAGGACTAAACCAGGACTAAAAGCAGGACTAAACCAGGACTAAAGCAGGACTAAACCAGGACTAAACCAGGACTAAACCAGGACTAAAAGCAGGACTAAACCAGGACTAAACCAGGACTAAACCAGGACTAAACCAGGACTAAACCAGGACTAAACCAGGACTAAACCAGGACTAAAAGCAGGACTAAACCAGGACTAACAGGACTAAACCAGGACTAAAGCAGGACTAAACCAGGACTAAACCAGGACTAACACAGGACTAAACCAGGACTAAACCAGGACTAACCAGCAGGACTAAAACCAGGACTAAACCAGGACTAACCCAGAACCAGACTAAACCCAGGACTAACTCAGGACTAACCCAGGACTAAAGCAGGACTAAACCAGGACTAAACTCAGGACTAAACCAGGACTAACCAGGACTAACCAGGACTAACCAGGACTAAACCAGGACTAAACAGGACTAAACCAGGACTAAACCAGGACTAAACCAGGACTAAACCAGGACTAAACCAGGACTCAGGACTAAACCAGGACTAAAGCAGGACTAAGGACTAAACCAGGACTAAACCAGGACTAAACCAGGACTAACTCAGGACTAAACCAGGACTAAACCAGGACTAAACCAGGACTAAACCAGGACTAAACCAGGACTAAACCAGGACTAAACCAGGACTAACCAGGACTAAACCAGAACTAAACCAGGACTAACTCAGGACTAAACCAGGACTAAACCAGGACTAAACAGGACTAAACCAGGACTAACTCAGGACTAAACCAGGACTAACTAAACCAGGACTAACTCAGGACTAAACCAGGACTAAACCAGGACTAAACCAGGACTAAACCAGGACTAAACTAAACCAGGACTGAACCAGGACTAAACCAGGACTCAGGACTAAACCAGGACTAAACCAGGACTAAACCAGGACTAGACCAGGACTAAACCAGGACTAAACCAGGACTAAACCAGGACTGAACCAGGACTAAACCAGGACTAAACCAGGACTGAACCAGGACTAACTCAGGACTAAACCACCTGCTTGTTTTGATGGAGGGAGATACGTTTAATGCCAATCACATCTCCATGGAGACAAGCAGGTGACAGACCCTCCACCTGAAAAGTTACACAGTGAAGCTTTTAAACGTCTCTTGTTCCTCTCTGACCCTGTGCTTTTCCTGCAGGTGTAACAGGAAGTCCAACTGCGAGTTCCGAGCGAGCAAATCTGTTCTGGGGTCCGGATGTGCTGTAACATCTCAGTACCTGGAGCTGGCCTACACCTGCCAGTAATCCAGTCAAGTAATTACAACTTTTTTCAATTTAAAGCTCCGATGTTACACAAAATGGACTCTTTGTAAGCTTTTAGCTATGTTATAATCAGTGTTGGGAAGGTGACTTTTAAAATGTATTCCCCTACAGATTACAGATTACATACCTCAAAATGTAGTTTGTAACGGAATCCATTAAATTACTTAAAGTGAGTAATGTAATCTGATTACTTTTTGGATTACTTGATTTTCTGTAGAGAAACAAAGACGAGGAAATCTTCACATAAGAAGTTTTGTCTGATTAAAGAAAATAAAAAGCCCAGACTTTACTGAACCAAATTAAAAATATTACTGATAGAAGAAGAGGAGACACGTCCACGCAGCAGGATTTAGTCCTGTTAAATCTTGTTTAAGACCTGGTTTTAGTCCTGGTTTAGTCCTGGTTTTAGACCTTGTTTAGACCTGGTTTTAGACCTTGTTTAGACCTGGTTTTAGACCTGGTTTAGACCTGGTTTAGACTTGGTTTAGTCCTGGTTTTAGTCCTAGTTTAGTGTTCGGCAATGAGTGAAATTACTGAAGAAAAAAAAAATAGGGATATAGTCCAAAATGTGAAAACAGGAAAATACCTCTGTGTAATCCATTCATTTCAACCAAGTAACTGTAATCTAATTACCACTCACTGAAACAGTAACTGTAACCGAATACAGTTACTCATAATTTGTACTCTGATTATATCACTCCGGTACATGTAATCTGTTACTCCCAACACTGGTTAGAATGCTGTTACCTTCTCAAAAACAGAGCTGGAGTTGTGTTTTGTTTCATTCACATGTTTGACTAACTCTTTATTTTTAGTCTGTTTACTTGTCCAAACCTCAAAATGTTCTTTTCCACCTTGTGATGTCATGAAGTGGTAGTTTTAAAGATGACAGCTCTTTTTACCTTTAGTTCAGTACAGATTAGAAATTCCAGGTCTGATCATCCAAATGACTCAAGTGAAAGTGTGTGGAGTTTAAAAACACAATGAAGCATTTCCTGTGCACACATGACATCACAAAGTGGAACAGAGTATTTTCTGTCATTGAATCACTAGAATCATTTGGATTATTTCAACCAAATTCAAATACTCCAGGTCTGTTTTTGAGGACTTAAATCTCACAAGAGTTCAGTTTGTTTCATGTAGGGGTTTTATTTTTAAATATTCACTGAGCTGTGGAATTTTCAAAACACTGTATTTTTTTTTTCTTTCTAGAATAAAACCAAATCAAGAGGGCTTCAAAGAAGTTTGCAAGCACTTTTGTTCTTCGATAACCTTTACTCAATAAAACATGTATTTCTTAATGATCAGTGTATGTTTTACTCAAAAACATAAAGAGGTTTTAGATGTCATGTTTGAGTAATTTAGCAATCTCTCCTAGGCCCTATTCAAACCCTCCATAAGGTTAGTCCAATGAGCAGTGTGGGGGAGTAACAGATTACATGTACCAGCGTTACGTAATCAGAGTACAAATTATATTCAGTTACAATTACTGTTTCAGTGAGTGGTAATTGGATTACAGTTACTTTGTTGAAATAAATGGATTACAGGGCGGGATTTTCTTGCTTTCACATTTTGGGTTAAACCAGGACTAAACCAGGTCTAAACCAGGTCTAAACCAGGTCTAAACCAGGTCTAAACCAGGTCTAAACAATATGACACTAACAGTAGAGTGAACATAATTTAAGGCAGCAGTGATCTCATATAAAAATCATTTCTCTGTCAATAATATTTTTAATTTGGTTAAGGAAAGACTGGACTTTTTATTGTCTTTAAACAGACAAAACATCTTATGTTAAGATTCTAGTCTTTGCTTCTTTACAGTAAAACAAAAGTCTGTTCATGGAGACTTGGGCTCAGCCAATTTGAAGAAAACAAACATGAATTTTCAGGATGTGGTTGGTACATTCATGTAGTTTTGAAAAGCATGACAATATCAAGTAATCCAAAGTATTCAGATTATGTTACTCACTTTAAGTAATTTAATGGATTATGTTACAAACTACATTTTGAGGTATGTAATCTGTAATCTGTAGGGGAATACATTTTAAAAGTCACCTTTCCAACACTGCCAGTGAGGTTCATTTGATCTTAATTTATGTTATTCAGTTCTTTTTTCAGACCAAGAGTTTGTTTTCATGCTGACAGTTTGTTTCTGCTCCTTGTGCTCTTCCTCAGAGTCTTCCTCAGAGTCTTCCTCAGAGTCTTCCTCAGAGTCTTCCTCAGAGTCTTCCTCAGAGTCTTGCTCAGAGTCTTCTCAGAGTCTTCCTCAGAGTCTTGTGATGTTGCTGTGACGTGTCGCTCATCTGATTTAGTCATAACATTTTTATTGAGCCAAAAACAGAGCTTTTTGGTATATAAAAGTTAAAATAAAAATGAATCTCACAAAACTGAGAACAAACATAATAACAGCCTGCAGAGGAACAGATATGTGTGAATTTGGGATGTTACTCACATAGTTACACATTCTAAAAAATCAATAAGAGTTTGCCACACTTTCTTAAATGACTGTAGTTTATCCTTTAACAAGTATCCTATTCTCTCTAGATGTAAAATGTTAACAAGGTCTCGTAGCCACATTTTAGAGCTTGGTACTGACGGCCCCGTCCATGACATTATATATATTAAGAGGAGTTTCTTAGTGTTATAAGACAATAGGAAATGAACTGCTTTTGGGCTGATGTCAGGCTGATTTTTTTTTCAGTTTCAAATTGTCAGTGAAAGTTTAAACTACAATTACAGAGATGCAGCAGCCTTGTAATTATGATGACCAAAAAAAAAGAATGAAAATCTATCAACTGTGGACGTAGTGAGGCCAGATAAACATCAGCCAATAGAAAACGAGGCTGCCTCATTTTCTATTGGCTGTTAGGTTGTCAGTCAAACTCCCTATGTTTCTAGTGTAACTGACTCACCAGCGTGCAGGGATTATGTGGTTTATGCAGCGGTTCTTAGAGGCTTTTTCAAACTGTAGCTTCCTCGCAGTTCGCACAAAGTTTGTTGCGATGGCGGATGAGAATCCATGACCAGTTCACCGCAAAAGAAAGTCCATTTTTGAGGTCGCTGAAAGAAGAAGAGAAGGGCAAAAGGAGCAAAGCCAGAGAAGAAGTGAGGAGCAGGGAGAAGAGCGGAACGAGGGAGTGGGGAGAGGAGCAGGAAGGGGTGCAGAGAGGGGTGCACGGAGATTCCGTGCGAATGAATTTACTACTGCTACAACACGCAGCTGCAAGCGGACTCTTTCTTTGCATTGAAAACGACGTTTTCAGACATAGGATATCACATTCGTGTCCTGAAAAACGTTTGACTAGCTCTTGGAAATAAAATATGTTTTCATAATAAGCAGAAGTTTCCTGTCCAGGAGTAATTTGTGGACCAGTGCGTCAGTATTTAGACCCTGCGTCTGCTTCAGTCGCGCCATCGCTGGAATGAATCTACAAGAATCACCTTAGTTTGGCTTCGCTGCTTTTCCCCTTGTTTTCTTCTTTCAGAGACCTCAAAAATTGACTTTCTTTTGTGGCGAACTGCTCCTGGATTCTTGTCGCCATTGCAACAAACTTTGTGCGAACTGCGAGGAAGATATAGGTCAAAAAAAGCCGCTAAGAACTGTTGCGTTGGTGGAGTAAACAGCGTCTGTGCGTCTGTGGACTGTGTGACAGTCGTACGTAAACCACGTAATGGCAGCGCACAGGCAAGTCAGTTACACTAGAAACGTAGGGAGTTTGATTGACAGCCTGTCAGCTCACAGATAACGAGGCAGTGTCGTTATCTATTGGCAAATGTTTAGCCCCACCACGTCCAGAGTTGATGAATTTTTATTCTCTTTTTTTTGCTCATCATAATTACAAGGCTACTGTACCTTTATAATCTATCATTGACAATTTGAAACAAAAAATATCCTCCATACAACCTTTAAATACTTCTGATGTACCAAGGATAATTAACAAGGGTTCTGGCAATAATGTCATTTTAACAATCTGCAATATTGTATTAAACACATCAGACCAGCAGGTCACGAGAAAAATGCATTATATAACATTGCATTAAAGGACTGAGATTTACCACAAGCCGGAGAGACACTGGGGGAGTCGCTCACCTGATTTAAACAGGTTTTGGCGCTGTCTTCTTACCGGTGGAGGCAGGATGACAGCACCAATTTTGAAAGAACCAACATTATAACAGATGAATAGGAGAAGCAAGAAGAGGACAGACACATCCACGATACTCTGAAGCAACGCCAGTACCCAAAATGTGCAATAAACAAAAGAAAACAACAGGTCAGAGAGAACGAAAAACAACAATAAAAGTGAAAAAGAGCACAGGCATGGTAACATGACCGTACATCAGGGGCATAACAGAAAAAGTGCAGAGGGCGATGAGAAAACACAATATGAACACATCAGTGAAACCGAACAGAAACTCAGACAACTACTCGTCCGTCCGAAAGACAAAATAGAACCAGAGCATAAATGTAACGTCATATACAAAATACCTGCATGTCCTGCAATAAAACACACACCGGGGAAACAGCGAGGGTGATCAGTCCATGAAAAAAAGGAACATGAAGGTGAAACATGAGCAACAAACACAAAGCAGAACAGGAACAACACAAATCGTCCGTTTATGACACTGTAAAAGAGAGAAGCACATTCTGGACTGGGACAGAGGAAAATAAACACCAACGCTGGATTAAAGACACAATCAAAATACAGAACCGTGCCCACTTGACTGTAAACTGGGACAAAGGGGCATTTTTACTCTCACACACCTGGGATATTGTCCTGAGGAAGTGGGACTGCAGGTGGCGCTGTTGTCCCGCCTCCACCGAGAGGAAGACAGCGGCAAAACCTGTTTAAATCAACTGAGCAACACGACACAGCAACATCACGAGACTCTGAGGAAGAGCAGGGAGCAGAACAAACTCTCAGGGATGAAAACAAACTCTTGGTCTGAAAAAAGAATATAATAACACACTCCATAAAGTTAGCTATAAGATTCTGTCCAAGGCTCCGCCCACAAGCCCATTACCCATGCTCCCACACGACAGTTCACCATGAATATACAAATGCATAATACAAAACTGTACACAGTAGCTTGACAAACCTGATGTAATGTGTAGTAGTTTCATTCGAGCAGGGGTGTCCAAACTTTTTTCATCAAGGGCCACATGTCAAAACCCCAATGAAGCAGAGAGCTGATCGAGGGCCATGGACTGGTGGTCAGTGCGGTGAATAATTGAAATATGTGCATTTTTAACATGTTAGAATGAGCCATCAGGCCTCTATAGGCGAGTTTCATTGTTGACAAAAGTGCGCGTTGCATGCTGGGAATTATTTTGGTCGGCGGCAAGAAACACTAATTCAACATGACGGACGGAGCGAGAAAACACGTAAAGGGTATTGATCCTGGTTATTTATCCACTCTAACAGCAGAGGATCCAAGACCATTTGACCAGAAATTGGTCATAAGCATCGACGGACGACAAATCACCCTTTTCAACCCCGACAAAAGGTGGAACAAACCAAATTTCTGGTCAGAATCACCAACTACCTGGACAAATATTCACTTTGGTGATATCCACAATGACTTGGTGGAAACTCCTGGACCATTCACAGCAGAAAAGATGAAAACCTCCAAGAGTCTCGATGTGTTGTTGAACTTGTTGGAGTCCACGGTTTGTTAGGATCTTCTACGTTTGCTCTGTGAATGTTTGAAAGTCGCTAATTCATCGTTAGTGGTTCTTTTCACTCAGAATACGAAAAACACATTTTCCTTCTTCCGTGCTTCTATTTGTGCATCTGATAATGCAGCAGGAATTTACCATTATCGGGGATAAATACGTGAGGTTACGCACTGTGTTTGACGCTATCGTGTTTCTTGCCTCCGACCAAAACATTTCCCAGCATGCAACGCGGGCTTTTAATAACATTGACGTCAGCTGAAACTCGCCTATTCAAGCCTACAATCTCAAAGGTGCACACTAAATATTAGATATTGGCTTTATCAAGGTAGATTTTCACAAAACTTGTAGTAAAAAGTACCGTATTTTCCGGGCTGTTAGTCGCTCTGGATTATAAGACGCACTGTCATTAAATGGTCTATTTTCAAACTTTTTTCACAAATAAACCGCACTGGACTTTAAAGGAAACCCAACAGTGTGATGGGTGAGTGGTTTTGTTTGTTTGTTCGTTCACGGTGACTCTGGGCTTTGTTCAGTTGTGGCGTGTAGGGAGGGTGTGTCTGGGACCAACGGATTGTCGGCGTGTTCACAGTGACTCAGTTGT